TCCGCTTTGAATCGAGAGCGTCTCAAAAAGCCTTTAATTCGATATTATGGGAAAGCTTAATTGGTTAATTATCAGACGGCTCGTCTAATTCCCCGATATATTTTGTATTTTCGTTACAATTAGCTCATTGAAATTCTCGAGATAGTCTTTATGGTACGCGCTAATTTTTCCATCCTCTTTCGACCGTTTCGTTAATTGATCTTTTCCAAAATGGAATTCGGGATCGTTCTTTGTACAACGAACTAATCTTTATACAGAGATCAATCAATATATTTGAACCTCTATAAAACGACGTTCATAATTTACCTGTTTTCTTTACTCGTCGAAAGCTCTAGCATATATCAATTCCATTTAATAATTCGACGATTCGTATACCACATAGGTGTATATATTATGAATATATATTTTTCGGTGGCTCGTCAAGCGACCGGACAAACGCGAAAAGGAAACTTGATAGATGTTGCGGCACATCTGGAGCGACCGCGGCGCCATCTAAGCCGTACATTATATATTGCTTTGTGCTGATATATTCACTGATAGCGGTCCGACCGGGGGTGGAGAGAAATTGAAAATATACGGAATAAATATACATTTGATGGGCCGTAAATTGAGAAAAGGAATATTTTTCGAGTCGATGTACGAGCGCGGGAAGGAAGATTTGTGTGCGTATATTGGCGGATTTTTCTATGTGCGATTCATGCGAAATGATTGGTTATTGTTGGGTCGTCTGATGTAAAAAAGTGTGCGGAATATGCCCGACGTGATTTTCCCTTTCAAAACATCTTTTATTACGCGCCCTACGCGAACGAATTCATTATTTACACTATTGGAAAACCTAAAATACTTTCACTGGATTTAGAATAACCAATTTTTGGCACTGTACTATTTATTTTCCTTGAAGCATTCAAATTTTAATCTTTTTTTTTGTATCTACAGATCTATAAAAATAGCTGCAGACGGGCCATGCGCGACTTACAAATGAACTTCACTAACCTTTGCGCATCATGCACATACAATCGCTGGTAAGTAATGAACTCTGTGATTAATACTAACATTGGTTCTCGGTAATACCTCGGTGATTAACGACAAATTTTTGTTTTCATGGCAATTATCTCATTGTAGTTGTTAATGGCTAGACAAACATCCGATTGTGGGAAATTAACGGTGGGGTTCGATCCGAGAATCGACTTTGTCGTCGACATCGTGATGGTTTTATTTACCGAAATTTCGCTGCTATTCCATTCAAACGTCAGCCGCACCTTTTTCGAGTACTTTAAAATATCGAGTGCATAATAGCCATGAATTAGTGTTACCAGGAATTGGATATTGTTTAGCATATAATTTTCGTTTGCCCTGCATATTGGTTTACTTTGTATTAAAATCGAAGGTTTATCCTAATCCATCTTGCCATATCAGTCGGTTGGGATTTACTCGAGATTTTCCACAAACATATCCGATTCCGAAAATATCGCGGACTCCACCTTGATGTATGGCGAAAAGGGCAGCGGCAAGATGAGTGATTGACTCTTTAAGAGATTGCTTTTTCTATCTATCGATTATGGTAGTGTTCCATAACCGCTGACTAAGCGGTTCGGTTATATATTTCTGCTTCTCTCACCTTAAATGCGGCCTTACTGTGGACCCATTTTCCAATAGAGAAAAAATTTAATTAAAAAATTAAATTAAAGTAAAAAAATATAATTATTAAAGTATCTAATTAATTACTTAATAACTACATCAATTTATTTATTTTCAATGATCTTATACTTAGTCTCCAGAATGGATTATTTATTGTTTGCATTTTTTCCCTTTTTACCTCATTACAAACTTATTTGTATAAGAGTAATGAAAAGGCGCGCCCCATTAGTTGAATTCCTCTTTACTCTCTTATTTTCACCCTCTTCTCTTCATAATAAAATAACGTATTTAGATCGTGTAGCGATTCATTGATTAGATTATTATTTCGCGCTGACACGAAAAGAATTTTGTAACACAAAACCGCTCTCAGATTCTCAATTTAGTGGCGTTTCGACTACCCCTAAGTAATTTTAATGACTTTATTTGCGGAAAATATTATTGAAAAGGTGTATTCGCTCCCCGTTTGGACTCGATTTCGCATTCACGTCGTGTACCATTAAGTTTTTATTAAAGGCCAGGGAAGTTGGAAAATCTTGTTAAAAAGTTTATATATATTTTTTTTGTTAATGCGCTTTTATCTACACTGCTCGAAATAATACTACCTAATTGAATATATTGGTTCGCATTAATAGAGTCATCACTGTGTTAAATTGATTGCAGTATATTATAATTTTTTTCCGAATAGTGGGGAAACGCCATAAGGCGTATACAATGATATCATTAAAAGCCGAAAAGTGATAAATTTCCGTACGGGCGGATATATTAATTCCAGTTTTGCGTCTCCAATAGAGGTAATAAATATCTGGAAAGCATTAAGAATGGCTGATATCGTGTCAGGGTAAACTGTCATCTCCAGAAAGGCATGAGTAATGTAAGTAATGTAGACTCTCCACCTCGAGACGTCTACCGCCCTGCTGAAAGTGATGCCTCTGATATCTTAACGCTATTTTATTTTAGCACGGTATCTTTTTTTAAATTTCACTACCTGTAAAAAATTATCGGTAATTGATCGATTCTATTTTTAGTCGTTTGTTAGGGTTATTAGGTTTATAATTTCAGTTATAACTCGTTAGTTAAGTAAGTAAATTAAGTGCTGATGTCTATTTTTTATTATAAAAATTTTTATTCTCTTCCTACTATTATTCCCTGTGAATAATATAAAAACTTTTTCTGTCGATTTCACGTTGAATTTAAATAACATTGCGTTCCGCTTCGGATTTTTTTTAGATTTGCTTGTTTTTAACTCGTTGACGAGCAGATAAAAAATAACCTAAATTTCCGAGAAATCTCCGTTAATTTAAAGCGCAATTATTCCTGATTTTTCCGGATGAGAATTTTCATCGGACGCGACCGTGTTAAACGTCCCCGGCTGAAAAATTTGATCGCCGGAATATTTTACCTACTTATGCATCAATTTTTCTTTGAGGAGGAAAAAGAGATGTTCAGTTTTTATTAAGTAGATTTCGGCGATGTGCGTGCATACTTTATGGAGATTTCGATTTTTTTTCTCCCGTCCTTTATGTACCAACTTTAATTAAAAAAAATGTATTTTACATATTTAAATTGAAAGAATCGACCCTGTAATAATTGGGTATATAAAATCTACATGTTGAATCGTAGACAAAGAATTGTATGCAACACGTGGAAAGATCGCGTTTCCGTTTATTCGAATATCTCACTTATTATAATAGGAACCGCTTTCGGCGATTATTCAATTTTATTAAATCTTCCATGGAACTTTTATCTCGAAAAGTTTATTTGCATCTAAGGAGTTTGGAATTAATTAACATTCTTCTAATCTATTCGACAGTGCGGAACTGCAGATTATTCCTTGGGCCGGCAAAAATGCCTGTACTTCTCAAAGTTTAGCGGCGGTGTCTACTCGTCGACTATACGGCTGCACAATTCGATCCGTAAAATTGTTGATTATGCTTCTTGGAATATTCAAGGGCTTGTTTTTAAAAGTAGGAATTTTTCGAAAATGTGTGGAAGTAGTATTGTTATCTAACCGTATTGAAGTGCAAACAGCCAGTTCCGAATCCGGAATTTCCAATGTTCTAGATCCAGAAATAAAATTAGCCATTCTAATTGATGTGTATCAATTAAACTGCACGGAAGAATCCGTGATTGATGTCCGAAACCGGAACTTTTCGTTGTTTTAAAGATGATTAATGAAGTGACAAATCTAGGTTAACTAATTTTTCGATGAGATCTGCCATCATTTTTGATTTATCTTTATTTCGTGAATATTTAGCTTTAGTCGCTTTTTCTTCTTAACAAGGAAAATTATTACGATTGTTTCTTCACTTCTTTTACTAAAGTGTTATTAATGACTATAAAAGAGTCATGAAAATTTGAAAGTTAGATACGTATAATTTTGAATTACTTTAAAAAGTTTGGTATTATATTTTTTGAAGGTTAAACCAACAAACCGCAATGATATTCTTAACTTTAAATCAACCTGAAACGTTGGTTAGCAATCAAATTGGACCCGGCTCATTAGCATTCACCATAAACACGGTAATTTAGGCGAGTTCCGTTTAACAATTCGCCTTTTAACCGGCGAAAACATTTCCAGCGAAAAGGATTTCATTCGACACTGTTATGAAAAAGAAATCAAAATAAAAACATTAGGTACCTACTTAGAGAAAAAAAAAAACATTTTCCAAACGTTTTACGCATCATACAGGGCGATTATAAATTCGAATAAAAACACTCATTTTTCCGCTGTAACAATCACTTACACGTTGCCAATTTGGGAGCGAAATCGCGAAATCCTCTGAGAATACGGCGGGCTTCGTATTTGTCGTACGTTCGCAACGTAAAATTTTCGGATTTCCATCTAATATTCCCCGTGCGTTCGGCGTTTCGGGCCTTCGAAATCGACAACCAAAGAAAATGTAAATCAGAATTCCATTTATCGAAGCACCGAATGATTTATGAAACGGTCCCATTTATAATCGAGCGGATATTCATGAGACTGGAAAAGGAAGAAATATCTCCCCGATCGCCGCCGATTGTCGTAATTGATTGTATGGTAAAAGATGGCGTTTGATTCCGCCGAATTAACCAGATTTATACGCCGGATTATTGCGGGTCTGCGGTTGAAAGTTCAGCAGATCAACGGCAAGATTTGCATTTTTCCCATACATGCACCGGTTAATCGAGGATTTGTTAAAGTCAATTATTAAATCAAGCGTGAAATTGCATTTCAAATTACAATTACCTTAATTAAATTGTCGAAATCGTGTAGAGAGTAAAGAGTATCGTGCAGCTAGCGCCACCTACTAAACGATTTACGAACGAGCTGGGAGGACTCGCAGGATTCGATACCGAATAATATTCCACGTGCGATAACTAAATTTTAATCAAAAACACATCATTTCAAATAAGCCACGGATCCCTTTCGCCTTCTATCGTGCACTCCGACGATTTCACCTGGATTTTCATCGTCCACGGAAATGGTAGTGACGGCCACGAAGCCATTATTGGAGCTAAAAGTTATATTATGCCCGATATCTATCAATCCTTGTACGACGTCCTGATCCTGTAACATAAATAACGCAAAATTCAATCGCTCTCGCGTTTGCGCCCACTCACTTCTTTTAACCAGTCGTCTTCCATGTGGAGATTCATGGGAATGAGCTGGTGGTGGATTCTCTTCATATGGGAAGCACTCGCGACGTCTAGGTTAAAGTAGAGCCTGTTTAAAATTACCTAAAGAGAAATTAGTGCAGGTGTAATACGTAAGAGAATTTTTAACTTTACTTGAGCTACGCTGGACAAAATTTTACTGCCTCCTGCTCCTCCTACGACCATGAATATATCACCGTATTTATCCAAAATTATCGAAGGGCACATGGACGATAGAGGTCGCTTGCCTGGCGCTATGAAATTAGCAGGAGCCGGAGGATATCCGTAATCGTTGGTGACGCCAGGACTGGAGAAATCGTCCATTGAGTTGTTGAGGATTATCCCGGTGGTTTCAGATCCGAATCTCGCCCCAAAACTGCAAGCAATACAAGCATTCCAATCTAACATTTACCTACTAAATAAAACTACTAACACGTTGTTAACGCTGCTGGTTATGGAAATTCCATCGCCACTCGGACCCCACGCGCAGACGTTACCAGTACCATGATCAGCCTCAGATCCCACGTCCGATCCGTAATGAGCGGGATCGCCGAAGGTTCTGTCGTCGAATATTCTCGATCTAGTCTCTTCGGCGAATTCTTTGGACACCAATTTCTCCACGAACTCCTCCATGCCCTCGACGAAGTTTCCGTCGCCCAAGTTGCTCCTCTCGCCGTAGGCGAACTTCATCGATTCCACGATCCTTTGGTAGTTCTTCGTCGTGAGTTGGTCGTCGGTGTCCAGGTAATTTTCGAGGATGTTGAGGAGGTAAATCAGAGCCGTACCGGAGCCCGGTAACGGGATGGTGAACAAGTCTTTGTCGAGTATTGTGGTGTGCACGGGTCGCATTTTCTCTGGTCTGGAATGATAAATCATTGGTTCCATGTTAGCAGTGAGGATAGGTGCAAAATATTTCGAGCTAGTGATGATTATAGTGGTAGTTAATATTGCAATAAGTTTGAATTGCATAAACCAAAAGTGTTTAAAGCTTACTCATAGTTTCTTAAATCTTCTAGTGTGATAATACCGCCTTTTTCCTGAATATCGTTGACGAAATCTTCGGCTAAAGAACCTTCATACAATGCATTACCGCCCTCCTTAGCTAGAATTCTCAGCGTTCGCGCCAGCTGTGGTCTCCTGTACAACTGACCTACTTGGTACAACTCTTTAGTTTCGCGATCAATGAAGATATTCCTAAAACAAGTACGAATTGCAAACTGATCAATTATAGGAATGTAAAATTACTCCAAAACAGGATCCATTCGAATGGCCTCAATCGAATCCACGGCGTTTCTGAACGTTATATCGTTCATCGTAATGCCTTCCTCGCACAAGGTGATGGTGGGCTGCAAGAGTCTCCTCCACGACACTCCACCGCCCCAATTCTTGTACATCTCCCAGTAGCCTTTTATTTCCGATGGTATCGCCACCGAGAGTCCGCCTCTCGAGGAAAGCGTCGGGTTCTTCACGAACATATCTCTGGTCGCAGCCGCTGGAGCCGATTCCCTGGAATTGAAGCTGAACACTTCTCCGGTGGTTCTGTTGTAGATGGTAGCCAGAAAACCGCCCCCGACTCCTGTGGTGCTGGGATTGACGACGCCTTCGCAAAGGGCTGTAGCTATGGCGGCATCTATAACGGTGCCGCCTTCCTGCATGATATCCCTGGAAAGGAGGCGATTAAAGCGATTTGTTAATGGCGGTTTTGGGTGATTGTATACCTTCCGATTTGGGCGCATGCTGGGGCATTGCTCACCACGGCTCCGGTGCGATGACGGGGGTTTAATACCACCCGCCCTTCGGCGGTTACTAGCAGAAGGGCTACAACGTAGCCGTAGACGATCATTTTGCTGTAGCTGGAATTCGTTCGAAACATTTATAGCGATAGCCAAGGTTCCTTGCAATTAATTTTGGAAAAGTACCTATTGTTATTAAAACATTTTAAAACGGGCTTATCGCCAAAAAAATGAGATAGTTACGGTGAGTAAAATTATTTATTACATAAATGTACAAGTAATTAAAAATGATCTATTTTTTAATTATTAGTTTGATTAACTGTAGGTACTTACATATAGGTTTCTTTCATCCACTGGACAAATTGGTATAAGATTCAATATTTGATTTGGTAATTAATTATATATCGATAATCTAACCAGGAAATTTTTGTTGTTTCCTCTTTGACAAAAAAATAAGATGTTTTATCTCGATTTTAACAGGATGTTGATTCAATAAAAAATACATAATTAAGCAATGAAGCACAGGACCAGTATAAATGTTTTATTAAAACGTACAAATTAGGTACAATAGAAATAAGTATAGAGATATAAATAAAAATATAACGAAACAAGTTAAACTAAATATAATGACCATTATTCGAAATAATCGGTTTATTTGCACTTGACTGGGTAGATAGCGACGAATTCGTCCTGAAAAATACCAAATTAACTAATCAATATATTTTTTAATTAACGTACGTTACGTTTATAATGAGTATTTTTTTTACAATGTATTAACTAGGATCAGATTGATCCCATTATCCTTCCCTTGTTCATACAAAATGCAGGCCAAGTCGCAAAGATTCTTACCGAAATAATTTTTCTATCCTCCTAATTGATTGACATTGATAGTTATCCTATTTCCCGGTTTAGCCGGTACATCGTAATCCCGATTCAAGTCATTCGTCGATTTCGCAAATTCCTTCGCCAAGTTGCTCACTGATATCCTGACTGTACCGTTGCTCTGAGGCCGAATTTGGGAATCGTGCAGTAGGTTATCCTGGAAATAATACCACAAACGTGGTGAAAATCATTCACGCGCATCGTTAATTAGATTACCATCGATTCGGTGCGTTTCTTCAAATTCGATTTGTTCAGCATTTGGCTCAATTCCGAGGCCAATCCGCCCGAGAAATCCGCGGTGTTTCTGTTAGCAGATAGGAAATTCAGTTTCCCCGGCGGGTTCTTCACTTTAGCGTATTCTCCGATGCTCACGTTCACGGATTTGGCCTTCTCCGAGCCGTTGGACAGCTTCGAACAGACGTTCCTCTTGGGGAAGTAGGTGTTGGGCGGCTTGGGGGTGACTTTGGAAGGGTTGTTGATTTTGATGGACTCCAGGGAATCCATCTCGACCCGTTCGTGGAACGCTTTGTGCTTGATGGTGGACGTGGATGAGGATATGCTCAGCGTATCGTAGTCGGGGGTTGGACAAGGCGGGGGCTGGTGGGTGGATAAGACCGATCGTTTTATTGGCACTGGAGGGGCTTTTGGCTTGGAAGGGTTCTGTTGCATTGGGAGTTTCGGTCGTGGTTCTGCGGGCGTACTCTCGGCAGTTGGAGGCTGAAAATCCAATATGTGTGGAGCTCAACGTTAGATTAGGAAAAATTACTTACTGGGGGCGGTGGAGGTGGCGGCGAAACAGGTTCGTTCGGTCGATTGTTTTCACTATTAGCTAAATTGAGCAAACGGTCGGAGAGTTTCTGGGAGAGCTCCTTGTGAGCCAATCGTTGCTGAAGCAAAACAATTTATTTGGTATTTAAAGTATTTGAACAATAAGTTTCTGTTACCATTGTATTTTGGGTTGGTTTGGTTTCCGGTTGGTTAGCAGGCGGTGATTTGAACATCTTCTGATGGACTTGCTTGAATTCGTTCATTAATTTAGTGTGCTGGAATTGCTGGTCTGAGCTTAAGCCGCGTATGAGTTTCTTCTTTTGGATTTGATCGTCGATGGTCTCTTCGTTGGTTTTGGTCGCTTTTTTCTACAAAAAAATATTTTTAATAACCAGTAAGGGAGATTTGAAATGTTTTTTTCTCACTTCCGATCGTCGTTTGAGCTCCATGGATATGGCCGATGATAAGCTGCTGCTAGCCATGCTGGTCTTGCTGGCTAAGCTGCTGTTAGAAGAGCTTTTAGTTAGTCTGTTGAAGCAGTCAGGTTGGTCGTCTTCGTTCGTTCTGTGTACTTCCACGACAACTTTGCTCTCTTTCTGATCCTGCACCTAGAGACGATCGATTAAAATAACTATAATTTTACGGATGCATCGATTCTTACTTTATCAGTTTCTGGATTTTCGTATCTGTTGTGATATTCCGCTCCGTTGTTTATAGTGTTACCGTTTTCCGATAAATTGATAGAAATAACGGTAGGTTTGTAAACATTTTTCTCCTGCTGTTCCTCCTCCCAATCGGTCAAAGACCAACTTATACTCGTCGATGAACCTACAAACGTGTTCCTTAAGTAAAACAGCAGGTAATGACTCGAACAAACTTACTTCTAGTGTGTAATCTGTCGTCTAAATTCTGATTCTCCTCCTTAACGATGGACAAGCGCTTGGAATCGCCCCACGAGGAGCTCTGGTCCTCGGTCACCGAGCTGGCCGAGCTGTTGTAACCGCTCGATTCTCCGGGAAACAGCTCGGAAGCCGCCGCCTTCCTCACGATCAACTCCAACTGGCGGGAGTTCTTCATAATGTTAACGGCCTCGTTGAACGGTATGTCGGAGAAATCCACGTTGTTGCACTGGAGGATCTGGTCGCCCGGTCGAAGTCCAGCTTCCCTCGCTATGCCCCCTTCCTTGGTGAATTGCACGAATATTCCCGGCTTGTACTCTGGACCTTTGCAAATCCTGAAACAAAGATGCTGCTAGTATTCTACTTTGAGGCTACTTTGGATGAGAGATGGAACTTCTTGACTTACCCACAACCGAGTTTCGAGCGAGGGGCGACCATTATATTTATGCGGACGTCTCGATTTTTTTCGACGAATTGCGGTGAGGATCTGGGCGAGGATGCGGTGGTGTCGGTGACGATTTGCCAGCTCAAACTGTCGGTTTTCTTGCTGAAATTAGATCATAATTGATGAGTTTAGCGATTTTAGGGTGGAGGATTAACAAGATGAAGTAACAGAAATGAAGAAAGTGATGGTTGATGATAATAAAAATTGCGAACTACTTACTCCTTAACTGGAATCATGCCCACACCTGCAACGGAAAACCATTTGTTAATAGAAATAAACGTGAATCGTGATTTAGTAATTTCATAATAATAAATCTATTACCGAAGAATGTCGATGGTTGATATATTGGTAACGGAATTGTGGAACATGCGATTTAAGCATGTCGAATTGTTTTGCGTTTGACGAGGTGAAGGTCGCATAATTTTCCAAATGTAACTAAAGAGCCTTAAAAACCGCTTATTTGCGAATTTTCACTTCGCAAAAGCCCATTAATTAATATTGAGCGTTTAAAAAAAGCGATAATTTTTTTAAAAGAAACTCTTTCGAATAATAAAATCCTGTAGAAACTGCGTTTTTAACGGTTTCTAAATTTCTTTAAATTTTTTATGCAAGCATTAAAATGCGCTTTCTATATTCACCCGAATCTATTGACACCAAACGTTGTCCGCTGAAAAACGCTCGCTCTGTATATTTTACGCATTTCGCGGAATTCAGATCCACTTTTTTTTGCTATCTACACATCGAGAAATTAAATTTCTGCTAACGCCGCACATACGAAAGAGTAGACGGATACAAATTCGAACTGGAAAAAGTTGTTTCAATCACGAGAAAGTGAGTCAATGGTATTATTTTACTACTAACTTCTATTTCTTTAAATAGCCTGCATTTTTTGCAACAGAATTATACTTATAAATTGTAAAAATACGATAACGTTTTTTTTTCTATAAATTTTCAAAAACTAGATGATTTTTCCACAGGTTTCTTCCTACCGTTTATCCTCTATTCCTCTAAATTACCCGATTATTAGGTACAAGAACAAATAAATAGGTACAATTATCTTCGAAACTAATCTTTTAAATTTCTAATTGTTCATTATTTTTATTTTACAGCTTTCTGGTAAAGCACAAAAACTAATCGCGAAGCGGTTTCAATCACAGTCGGTTTCTTTTCACCATCGAAAGTGATACCTATTCGATTTTTTTAAGGCTGCAAGACGTCAAAATATTGATTATCTAGGTTAATTAAAAATATAAATTAGCACCCATAGGCGAGATAGCGTGAACGGATATCTAGAATCGACTGTATTTAACCTAAATTTCTTTCATTCCACTAAGAATTTACAGAAAACCAAAACCAAGTTACATACATTGACTTATGTGTACATTTTTTCGCATATATTCTGTCCAATTTATTCGAGCTATGACGCAGCAAATTGAAATATTGATCCAATTTTAAGCAATGATTAATCCAAATTTGCGTATCCATTTCGCAGTCACAGAGGAGGTTGGCAATCGAAAATTTATTTATAACATGTAAAAGCACCCATAGAACAAATGTTTGTTGTAGGAGGAAGTACTTGTTGGTACACCGTGACGTAGGTGTGATAACTATTTCTACACGGTTCACCGAGTACGAACTTTACTTGTTCCGTTCGTTCTAAACGACGTGCCGGTATGAGTCCAAATTAGTTGTTCTATGGTTGACAGACTGTTGGATGGAGCGAAGTAATTGTTGTATACCGGCGTATGGGTTGTTTGAAAACTAACGAAACTTTAGAGGTCATATTTCACAAGAATAAACAGCATAGCTTTTACAACAGAAGGATGCATCAAATGTTCAACAGGTGTTCGATTATGCGGGTATGATTTATCGCGTATGTAAAGTATATCTGTCATATCATAACTATGTAATGATAAGGAATATTTTCGAATATAATAAAGCTATTTATTGTAGTATTCCTAGGAATGCGAATGAAACATAATAAATAGTTTGAAAATGGGTAAAAAAACAACAATTTTTCAACAAATTGCACCTGTAATCTCATTCACCTTCTTATTGAACTTTAAAATAAAGATAAATAAATTCGAATCGTGACCGATTTCAACCTTGTCTCTCGAACGTGACGCTTCGTCCGGGATTCGCTGGAAACGACGCGCTAAATCTTGCGAAATCTCTCTCGCCATTATCGAAAGCGCTCGATAAATTCGAATTTTCCTCGAACGCCATCGGTTTCGCATGCAAATAATATCGCTTATCGCAATTAAAAATAATGGGAAAATTGAATACGCGATACCGTTCCGACTCTATTTAAAAACCGCTTTAATTGGAAATTAGAACGAGGTTATTGTTTTATAGTGTATACGCTTTTGCCCCGCGGCAATAATAACAAATTGTTACTAATAACTAATAAAACTGGAATTGAATGTATATTATTAACAAATCGGTTTTTCTTGGGATTACAATTTATTAGAATTGGTTATTAATGAAATACTAAAAAGTCTACTAGAATAATTACATACAGAAGTTCTATTCAAAGAGTTAACATTACCTAATAGGTACTCATCAAACAGATTTACCAACTTATTGATAGATCCTCTCGTGTAACTATAAATGATAAAAATAACCCATTTAAAAGTCAACAAACCATCGCACAAACGAGTACCTGTAATTAACGATTTAATAGACTTTCTAATAAGTATGAGTCGCAACGCAACGGAGATTAATCGTTTCTTCTTCGAGTTACAATTTAACGCGAGATTTCTTCGCATTCGGCGATTCCACGTGTGTGTTTAGCCAAATCACACGTGATCGTTACGCGGCGATGTGGAATCGTAATTTCGACGAAATCGCCGTTGAACTCGAAGAAAGAAATCATTTCGGGTGCGTTAACCCAACCGACGTCCTGTCGTTAACCGTGAGGTGTACGAAAAATAACCATCTCCGAAAAGGAAGAAAAAGATGTATGCTTCGCGAGATGTTAGACCTGTTTTGTGACGAGAACGAAAAAATCCGGCTTCCGTTCTGGCGATGCTTTGCGTAATTATCACAGCGTCGATTATTCTCTCGTTCTTGTCGGGATCATTTTCTCGATCGAAAGAGTCGTTGGGCAAAATCAAAAGTGAAACTAACGCACGATTATTGGATTAGATACGTTTGGGAAAGATTACCAGATTAATCGTGTTAAGAACACTTTTTTTATAGTGCAATGCAATTCCGAAACTATACAGGAGAGTTCTTGAATCATTTAGATTTGTCCAGGGACCCATTTTAGAACCAGCTAGGACTATCTAAAACAGTTCAGAACGACCTTAGATCCGTTTAGAACTGTATAAATCATTCTAGTCCAATTTACTTGTTAAATCTTGTAAAGTAAACGTATATTTCAATGTCCACATAACCGCAGGCTGGCCCGGTATGTATTATCCTATCTATCGGTGCGTTCATTTATAACGAGCAGTGTCCTGAGCGCACAAAGGACACCACTATAGCAGGAATCCCACAGCGAAAAAATCCCTCTCGGACTGGAGTCTCAATAATTAAGACCACCTAGCTAGAGTATAACAGAGACACGGGGAATTAAATAAATTAATCTTTCGGGTTTCATTTCATATAATTTAATAACCCACAGAACGGTATGTGTGCGATTATTAACGATTTGAATTTCTAATACCCGTTGCGGTATCGGTTTAATGAATTATGTTACTAGCGATAGATATCAATTCTTATCTAATCGCGCCAAACAAAGGATATTAAAAACGACAATGCCTTGTATGAAATATTCTCCGGTTGATGCATTAAATTTACCGCTATATTATCATAAAAAAACTCGGAAAATACACCTTATAACGGATTTCGGAACTATTGTTTGCGTTCGCGTTAGATCATAAATGATGTTTGAATTCAATCAACGCGAATTGCCCAATACTGCGTAGGTACACAACACTTTTACTTTCATCGATTGTCGACTTACGTAAAACTCTTCGATAATTATCGATGTACTTACTTCTAACTTTGAGCGTGAGGTGCGTATGAGCAGAAATCAATTGTAGAACCTCCTTGTGGACGGCGTCTTCGACGGTGAAGCCATTAATTCTGACGATTTGATCTCCGACCTGCAACGAAATCCATCATCGGTGAATTTATCGTCGAGATGAAAAGTGTTATTAGATAATCGCCGGTTGTTCAGTAATTTGATGAATGGTAATTCCCGGTTTTGCGTGGGTGGGTTTTTTTAATAAACAGTTAGGGTGATTTATGGACCTGTTGGCAATTTCGGTTGTAATGCTAAAGAAGATTCGATGGTGATGAAATGAATTATTTTTTCGCAATTCTAGATGGTGTTTTAATGTTGATTTTAAGTGAGTTTTTTCGTGAGATTAGCTAGAAAAACGTATGAATATGCATGCACGAAAAATCAATTAACATTTTAGTTGCATGTGGGTTATTACAAATCGTCGATATGGCGAATTTTTAAATTAAAATAAAGGTTATTTTACTCGTAAAAACCTACACGGCTTTTCTGATTGCGGTGAATTTTATTGGTTTTGTTGTGAAAGAGGCGAAAATAAATTTAATTATGCCCGTACATTTCTATAAAATTAAAATTTCTGTTAAATTTCCGAGAAATCCAATACGAATTATTTCAACTAGAAACGAACCAACTTTTACGCTTCAACGATCTATAAAATGTAAATATAACATTAGCAACAAAAGTGAAATTATTAATTAAATAGAATCACTAGATTCTGAATAATGAGAAAGCTCTATAGTCTTTTTCTCATTCCTATACCGATGGGATGAGAAGAATTACATATATTTCAATTCACTCTCGCTATCTTTTGGATCATTTTCTTCATTCAATCCATTATCGAAACACACTAAATCGATCCAATAGTACCGTAATAATTAATTAAAATAAGGTAGACTGGGGCAAATGTAAAAATGGGGTAAATGTAATATTTTTACCTATTATGTTAATGTTTTTATTATTTTTATAGTTCTTTTGTGCATTAGACAGGGTTTGTTTCTTATTTTTTCTTTATTATTTTGTAGCTCTGTTATTTTTTGAAATAAATAAATAAACAGCATATCAAATTTTAGAGGAATCAAATATTTTTTTACAATTGTCCCATATGTTTTCTATATAATTGTATTGCACTTTAGAACCATTTGTTACATTTACCCCGTACCATGGGTCAACATTTAAAAAAATATATAAAATCGTTTTCTTCCTTTTTCAAAAAAACTTTTTTATACCTCGATTCTTTAGTTTAAGAAGTTGTGAATTTAATGTGGTATCAGCATTTCTAATAAGACAAAAAATAAAGCCACATTTTAGGATTTAATTTGAACTATTCAAATTTTACAACCGATTTGCCCCGGTCTACCTTACCACAATCAACAAGGAATATTTATAGTTAGAAAAAAATTAACCTTGAGTCCTTGCAAGTACGCCTCGGAGCCGACTTCCACGTGCGACACGAAGAACCCGGTACCGTGCTCGTGCCCGCCCCGGATGCTGAAGCCCAAGCTGGGCGCGTTCCTGCCGCCCAACGACAGGCCGTTGTTGCTGCGCTTCATCAGCCTGATCGTCCGGATCCTGTTGTTCCTGCTGCCGCAGCTGCCGCTCATCGTCTCCGACGACATCGTCGAGCAGGCGTACTTGTGCTGCCGGTGGTTGTTCATCGGGTACTCCATCGCCATCATGTTGCTCATCTGGAAAGATATATTCAACTATAATCTGGATGGAATCTCAAAATCTAGTCAATCCAGTCGCAACAACTCCTGGAAATTTGTAGTTAATGTAGTAATAGTAATTCAAGCAAACTGATGAGCCAATTTGGTGAAGGTCCGCTTCTATGGAAGAAGTTTAGAGTTTCAGTTACTACTTTTGAAGACCCTTCGGGGCCCCTTTGGGCCGGGCGTTGGTGAATTTTTCGCGTGGGGATAAATAAAAAACGCCGACAAATTTCTAATCGATGGATGGTTAACCGATCGGCCATCTTACGGGCATCGATAATGCACTTTCTCGGACCTACTTTAGTCGCGCCTCGAGCGAGACGACCTCAAATCTCACCTGAGACCTTCACATTGTTTTACTCGCGTACGTACGTGGATTTTTTTATTATTAGCTCGCGAAATCTGGGCGATTAAATATGGATTTAACGGATTCGATAGGTGCATTAATTCGCGGGATGGAATTAGGTGCTTGGTGGAGGGACAAATTTTTTATATAAAACCAACTGGAGAGTTTAATAGGCTATATGCGATTGTTAATTAAAATAAATTACAGTGATATTATGGACTGTTTGGTCGTTAATTAGATTTATTACGTGAAATAAACGGTTTTGTCAATAAATTATAACGCGATTGAAATTGAACGTTCGATTCGATCGGAAAGGAAATAGTGAATATAGTAGATCGATTAATGTGATTTACGATCCCGCCGGGAATTTAACGTGTCAATTATATAATTAAAAAATATGTTATAAATTGGAAGCATTAATAGTCGTGCGATATAGCTCGGATTTTCTGTCATTCGGCTTTCCAATAGTAACGTAAATACTAGAAAGTTGAATTTTTACTATTTCATATGCCCATTTTCAGGTTGTAAAAACGACTTGTTTACCTAGTTAAGCGTTTAATTATTTTGATACAATGTAACATGGTAATAGAGACTCCAAGAATTTAACTCGAATTATTGGGAAATCCATCTAGAATTCTATTGAACTGATTTGAGAATGTGAACTTGATCACACCAATATTAGTGATGATGTCAGGAGATGAATATTGATTTAACCCTAACTTATGATTATTTATAATTGGTTCTAAAAATTGCAAACTTGTTTTTTATACGAAAGGGAAACCGAAATTTATACAAATATCGACTTAAATTATTATTCAATAGTCTAATAAAAAAAGAATTGATTATATGTATAAATTGTGATTTTCTAAGGTCACAGGTCTTACCTGATTTCTAAATTGTCTCTAAATTATTGTTATTTCATTGTATTAGTTGGTGTTTTGACCTTTAATTCGTGAACTCTCCGGAATTCTCCAGATCCGTATCGGATATTTAATGGGTGAGAATCTTGCCAAATCCGTACCAGGTTCCTCTTTCATCAGGCACAATAGGAAAATAATACATTTTATTTGCCAAACATTAATCTCATAAAAAATACGGCCGAGAATTAGACGGGAGAACGATACATTGTAACGCCGAGCAATTACTTAGAATTAGAAGTTAGATAAATGATCTGCAAATCGGTTTCACTTTTACCGGCTATTGTGATAGCGCTATTACAGCAATTACGGGAATCTTTATCTCCCCGACCAATTGCAAATCGTCTTTTCCATTCCCATATCCATATTAAAACGCGCAAAAGTGAAACCGACACTTTTCATTTAACGCCGACTCGACTCCATTCAGGTCGAATATTATTCGAATCGCATGCAATTTTCCAGTTTCTCTGCATTATAAGTAATAATGTTATACACAATAACAGGTAAGAATCCGTATGACCTATGACGCAAACATCCACCTATGGTATGAAGTCGTGAGCGAGTTACTTGTAGCCCATACGTGGGTCATTACATCTACGAGCAGAAGGCAAACCAATCATTATCAATTATTTAAAAATTATAGATATAAAATCGAAGATTTATAGATGCTTGCTTACAGACCGATTGGAATAGCAGGAGACGCAAGATGTATTGTATATGACCTTGAAGGCTTCGGTTATCTAACTGTATTATTATTATGTAATTTATTGACATTCTTCCACATTTATTAGATATTTAGTAGCCCATAAATTAGAAGTATAGGTATAGACATGGGAATCATCTATCTTGGTCTTGTACTGTTAGTGTATTGGTAAAGATAACTGCTAAATATTGCTTCCCATCATTCACATACCACTAACGGATACCAGATTGCCAATTACCTGCCTCGTAAATTATTTCTTCAAAGCGGTTTTGTTTTTTTTTTTTCGAATTGCCTGCGCGAATCCGGTCGGTATTCGCTCATCAAGGAGCATCCTAATTCCTAATTTTAATGTTCGGAATTAAAACGTTAGGAAACGCGAAATTATTATGAAATCGAGATCAAAACAATGGCAATACCGAAACAATAATCCGGCGTGACGTAAACTCGACGCTGTTTGTTATTAAATACATCTGAAGAATTAAGGTGTTCACACAAAAATATTCGAACAATTAGATTTTCACCGTGTAATTCGAACGTTTCGCAAATTCGTATCAGAAGCGCACGCTTGGAAAGCTGCTAACGTAATTTCGGTTTTGTTGTATGAAATAATATTTGGTTAGTTCATATAATACAGTGAAATCAATTAAATTCTTCAATTTTTTTAAAGATTGCTGGTAAAACTAATTTCCTGTGGTGGTATTGTAAGTTGGCTTCCTGGTAAATATAGTAACTCTTCTAGGGAAGTACATATTTTTTTAGTGTCTCGTTGTAAAATTTTTTGATGTGTTTCATGCATAACAAACAACAAAGATAATATTGTGTCAATATTAACTTGATAAATGTTCGGGTTGTGTCTCACTAAATACTCAATTTAATTGGATATACATATTCGCAAAGTATTTTTTTTAGTTTGGAATTATTTTAGGGAGCTCATATGAAAAGTTTGTTAAATCAGAAAGTTAAAAATTTAACAGCAAAAAACTAGTACAACAAAATAAACAACAATTTATTATCTGCATAAAAATCAAGTTATTTTCACTAGTATATTAAATTACAAATATACTTGTAATTCCAAATTATAAAAATTGTTTCCTACTGAAATAAATATTAATAAAAAAATAACTTCGTGTACCAACTTACCAAGCAAAGACCGTATGATAGTACTCCAAATTCCAATCGAAAAAAAATCCACAATAAGCTAATACTTCACGCACCCATATTCACACGATCAAGTTTTATCAATACCTACGACGAAATCCCCGGATTTCCACCTGGAGGAGCACGCCAGTTCGAAAAAAAAAAAGAGGAATTCCGATCCGAGTCGGCCGCGGCTAAAACAAATGGCTAAACGACCAGCACGCGCAGGTGACTCGATTCGATCGGCGCTGGATGGATCGCCGTTTTACACACATGCACACCGGATCGAAGGAAAAACGCGAAGGCAATGCCATCGAACACCGTGGAGACGGGCCCGATGGGTTTCCCCCTTCCTCCGGCGCGTCGAAGAAGAGGATCTTGTTTCTTCGGGTTCGCCGTTTGGCGTTCAATTTATTTTTCTCATTTACCGCGCTGGTCGCAGCTAAAAGATCGAAACCGCAGAGTCGAAGAAGATACCACCGTTTTTTATATAAACCATCTCGTTCTTTATACTCAGAAGATAGCAATCAAAATTTTTGTGAAAAAAATTACACAGGGTGTCTCGATTTAATGCTACTACTTGTCGGTATGTGGGTACAAAAGATTTATTGGTCCATGTTTCTTCATTTGCTCTTTAATGGTTCATAGTTCTTCATTGCTTTATAGCTTTTTACTGGTCTTTAACTCTTTTTTGATCCATGGTACATAACTCTATTGATCAAAACTTTAATAATACATACAAATTGAGTTTCTTCTTGATGAAACGCCCTGTATATTTAGTGCTGGGATTTCACGTGTAAGTTGCGAACGCGACAGGGGAATTACAATCTGGTTTTCTCGGCGATAGGTAAAAATTAGCTGGAATTAAGATTGCACTGGCAGACAAAGAGGCGTATGAACCGGCATCGAGCAAAAATCCCCGGCGATATCCGCGCCACATCTGGACGACCAGTTAAAATTGCTTCGAACCAGTCGCAAACGTTTAACGGGGATTGTTCGCATTGCTACGTAACTATTCCATTATTCCGTTGGATTCCTATCGTTGGGCGTTTTTCTCTCGCTAGTCCTTCGAGACATGTTTATTTGAATGTCGGGCTGGCGAGCATTTCGCGAATTGCCGGGCGATTAACGCGTTTCTGTAATGGAAACCGCTGGGAAAGTAAATCGATTTTTCTGATTTCAATTAAATTTATTTATTTATTACATGTTGAAACGTGCGTCGAATTCGTTTAATGTGAAGCTTCGGGTTTATGTGTATTGTTGAGACGGATAATCCCACGATAACTTCTTTGCCAGTTCTCTAAAGAAACACGTTTTAATAGCTTAATAACTGCAGAAAATTTAACTATACCTTAAACCCTCGTTGTAATAGTAGGGATCATCCCTTTTGGCGGCAACCCCTCGACAAATTGGCGCGTACAAATGTATCCTACAACAATTTCATGTGTGTACAAACCGAGAGAAATAGCTGGAGACGCGTTTAAAATGGTACATCTTCAGCTATTCCTCTCGCACCGTGCCTACAATGGTGTTGAATCGAAATATATAATAAGGAAATAAACGCGATTCTCCAGCTTCTTCAAGCGACCCACAACAATTACCTGCAATCTATCTGCGGTTTCGAGGATATTTCAACCACCGTTATGACGAAAACGCAAGCGAAAAGCAAGATCTTCTCCGCTGTGAATTCTCTGCTATGTTTCCTCTGAAACAAAATAATTATTAAGTTGTATAAATACACCCTTATTATCTTAATTATCTTAAGAATGTCGCGCGATGACGAGACCTAAATTTCCATTCTTAAGTAGATCTATTTGTGTTACCGATACCTATATCAGTTTTTTTTATCATATTTGCTCCCTTTAATAAAAGTTTATTGCTTGAGTATACGCGCTCACATCGTATTAATCAAGTGATTCCGTCGATTACAATATTCCAATCAAGCTTTTATAGGATATATAATACAGGGTGTTTAATAAGTGAGTGTGGAAATTTAAAAAATATGGGATTATAATAATTTTTCTCTAAAATTACCCCTTACCAAAGGGATGAAGTTGCTTAAAAAATCAATCTAATTTGTTAGTTTTCTGGGAAAACATTTTTAAAGGAAAAATTGTTAGTTTACGAAGAAAAGGCGTTCTATATAAAAAATCCTGTTAGACGAAAAAATAAGTTTGTCGTATTAAAATCTGGAATCTGATATACAGGGTGTCGCTGAAGTAAAGAAACATTAAATTTATCAGGAGAGAAGTACCAGTATTAAACATTTTTAGAGCAAAATTTTATAAAATGTAGGTATATTTTGAATCCACATGCAGTTTAATAATACTTTCTCAAATTTAAAAAAATAAACAGAATTCACCACACTTCTTCAGCTTGAAGAATTCAATCATGTTAGCGAATGCTAGCATGTTTTTAATCAACAATTTCCTTGATCAAAAAATTAAGTATAGCAAACATAATATAAAAATAAGACCCAAAGAAGTCTTATAGAAGGCTTAAATAAACAAAAAAAAATCACATTTAGCATAATGAACTTACACAACTTACCATTGTGAACATAATTACCGGACAACCCCTATCGAAATGTCGTATCAGAATGCAGGAACGAATCCGAATTTTCCGAGTATATATAACGCGTCGGCGACTTCGCCCGTTGCGCAGCATCTAAATCGGGCGCTCCGACATGTAACTAAAATTTAATCGCCTGTGAACCACCCGTTTAATTCGTCCAGATGATAATTTCGCTGCGTCTCATCGCCGATCGAGTTCCCGTTTCTAATAGGAAATCTTAATTGCGACAAACGTTGATGGCCGTTTCGTCCCTTCTTCGGTAATGAATTTAGCTTCAAAAACCGTTTCTGGTGTTGATGGGAGACGCGACATTGCGGATGACGCGAATTGAATTTTACCCCGATAATAATAACGCGTTGTAATTTCATTAGTTAACTGGTTGTTCTTTATTAATTATCTTATGGAGCTGAACAGAGTTTTTGAGCTAAATAGATTTTGTTGTGCCTGCTTCTTTGTTTGTCCGATGATGTGAAACCTAATGGGATATACAGAATACTTTAGACATATGAATTTATTACTTTTAGCTTTTTTTCTAATGCTGAAAGGAAGTTTGTAATTAAATTCCCTATGGAACCCCATTAATTTAGTTATTCTTGATAGGTGGATTGTTAATAATGGCCCATAAATGACCCACTCGATCGCCAGACTTGAATCCATTGGATTTCTCAATTTTATATCGACATTTTTAACATAATTTCATGGATATTGGAAGCTAGGCTTTAGTCCTTACTAATTTTTGCCGCAACCAATTTTATTATTGGCACAAAAAAACTCATCAGGTAAGCACACAAATACATCATGCCCAAATAGCCAATTTGGCCCTGCCGCATTAATTAGAAAAATAAACTTTATTTGCTAGTAATCCATATTTATACAACATCTACAATTCTCAGTGATGACATTACTACCCAGCGAGGGCTCCTATTGGCTGGATGATACGATTAAGTAACAATCAAGCACTGTGATTCGCTAACGCTTTGACAGTTAGAGCTTCATTATACGATAAATGAAAAAAAAACGAAGTAAATTCGAATGTTTATTAATTTAAACAAAATGCTTCTAACAAAATTATAATGGGAAATGATAAATTAGAAATCCCTTTCGTCTGGTTTACCGCTCGGCTAAAAATCCAGTAAATACAAACACAATAATCGAATATCGAATATCGAATTCGCACTCTACGCTAATAAATAAACTCGATACGTGTGTGTAATACGAATTTACGTTGTTAACGGTAGGAATCACTCCAAGCTAATTTAAGAATACAAAAAAAAACAATTATAATAAGATTATTAAGAAGGAGTATTTATTCGAAAAATGTTCGTTTCTATTTCTCCTCGCACCATTCGTTCTCCTTGCGCACTTGCTCTTCTTCGGACGGCGTGAAATCGTTCTTGATGTTAAACGTTTTCCGTATTTCCTCCGGCGCTTTGCCCTTTATCATGTTGGCCACGGTCTTGCAAGTGACGTCGAGCAGGCCTTTGATATCTAGATAGTTCGCTGCCAGGATCAGTTCGAACAGAGTGCCTTGGTCGACTTTGAGGAAGTCCGCGTCCCACGAGGATATGTCGTCGGTTCTCTTCTCCTTGTTGTCGTCGTCTTCGGGCGGGGGCGGGTCGTCTTTGTGGTATGTGGCCCATTGGATGACCTTCCGTAGGATAGCTGAGTTTACGTTGGGCAAGGGCACGACCTCCTCCTCTTCCTCGTCCATGCCCAGGTCCTCCAGCATGGTTTTTATGGTTACCGAGCACTTGGCGATTTCGACGTCGATCTCGAAGGTCTCGCCGTCCGAAGATTGCAGCTTTATATTTGGCATCTAAAATAAAACGCGTCAGTTATTATTTTTTTCGGTTGTTTTCGAGCACGTTTGATCGCTGAATCGCTCGTTTATACTTACGATAAGCGTCGGGTACTTCCGTTTGGTTGCTTGTTATTTGATCACAACGTTAAACTGTATTCAAAATTTAATTTAACAAAGAAATACAATGGCGAAAGCAAAGAAATTGACATTCATGGCAGGTGACTTGACAGTGTTGAGCGTTGACATTGACAGCGTTGACAGTTAAAATAATAATTTAAAGTGTTATTTTCTTAAAATGAACCCATTACGCTTATAAAAATTAGAATTTAATTGAAAAAGTAAGTAGAATAAACAAAATATTAAAATTTAATAATCAAATTTCACAAATAATACACAACTGTTGTCAACAACAAACTTATGTAACGTACGAAAAAGAAGAAAAAATCTCATTTATAGTTACTTAGCCATTTTCTTAATGTAATTTAATAATTATTCTATTATTAGCCGTCCAATTAGTAAATCTTATCATACTAAAGCTAAATTTCCTGTTTAATTTACAATAATTTAGGTACATTTGAACTACTGGTGGGATCTATTAGTCGTAGGCTAAACTAACAGTTATCTAAACTGACACAAGATGGAAGCTGAGTGAAAATTGGTGGCGCTATTTTCAAACGAAATGCGGCTTTCGTTTTGATTTGAAAAATTGATTAGAATACCCCTTGATGGTACGCCCATGTTTTGTGCTTACACATTTCATTTATAATGTCAGTTGATATCATCTCCTACGAAGAAGAGCCCTCTAAACAATCATCCGCGAAAAGCTCGCAGAGCTCTAACGCAACGAAAGAGAGCGAAAATTGCTACGAATCGGTAGCGCACAAATGGCTCAGTACCCCTAAACAATTCTACAGAGGCTCTTTGTTGTACGGAAACCTGCACGGCTCCGGCATATACCTCTACGATGAGGCGAAGAAGATTTTCTACAACGGGTTCTTCTACGCCAATAAACTGGAGGGTTATTGTCAGGTGTTCTATCACAGCAGCAGCACTTACTTCCAAGGCTTGTTCAAGGACAATAAAAGATTCGGACCGGGCGTTTTGACCTACTCAAATGGACATCAAGATGTGGGTTTGTGGGATGGATTTTCTTTGGTGAGAGTCGGTAAATCTAACATTAACATTCCAACGCTTTCCGTTACCAACGAAGGCATGGTTAAAGTCTTAAAGTACAGGTAATATACTTAATAATCGCCATTAACACAAGTGCAATTGGTACAAATTTATTTAGAAGTGTAGTAGACGTGTGTCCGCAAAAATGCCCCGACATAGCCGAGGAGATACTGAAGAGTCTTGGCGCTCCCGAATCACTCCTAGCAAAAGCTAAAGAATTATACAACACCGACGTTAAAAACAAAAACAGTTTGTTCTTCAACAAAACGAAATACGACCGATACTACCCGGAGAAAATCCCCACCATTGAAATATTAGTCGACGGGCCGAGGGACGAAGAGGTCCACCAGCCAGGAGCGCAAGTCGACACCGAAGAGGAAATGCAGGAGACACAAATACTCACGCAGAAAGTGGAGATGTTGAAATGCTACGTGGACGAAATCGAGAAGACCTTGCGCGACATCAAAGACGAAATAACAGAGACTGATAAAAAAATCGAATTTTGCTTGAACTGTTGCAAGGCCGATGAAGCCGAGGACATGCGCAAACCAACGGAGATGTCGGTCAACGAAGACATGAAAGATTACAACTCAACAGTCATGAACTGTAATAATTCAAATGGTTTGATGTGCATTAATTTCAAAGTCACTTAAGTTTCAGCGATGGGTCTAGACTGGAGCATGTCAGATATCCATTCTACCTCTACACTTTCCACTGTGGGAATCACGAAACAATCTAGCGAAATGCCGAAAGAGGAATCAGCAAGGGAAACCTACGAGAAAGAAGTTTGCGAGTGCCTCGAGGAGATGGACATCGAGGATTTGCGAGAGCTCGAAGTCAAACAAATCGAGTTGAAAAAGGACGAGTTCTTCTACGACGAAATATACAAGCACTTGAGCGCGGAAATCGAAAAAATCGAAAAAGTCTTGAATTCGAAGAAGACCGTTCGCACCAAGAAAATCGTGGTCAATCAAATGATGGCCTGGAACAACGAAGCTTTGCTCGTCGAAATGACAAAGCACAGCTTTGTCCACAGGAATACCGAATATATGGTGAATTTTCGCGTTCCCTCCGTACTATTGGGAAATCGTTTAGGGTTCATGGAGATTGGTATGTAATGATCTTCATGAAGTTTATTTTCTACTGCCTTCTATTCCCCTTTTGTCCTTTCTTCATTTGTAGGGGTTTCACTATTGACTCTGCCTTAGCAGCTGATATTTCTTTTAGGTCAGCAAGAAAAATTATGCTACGAGTATCTCGAGCATTGCCACTCGTCCACCCCTTTGGGGGTGATGCGTTACCTCGTCGATCACAAAATAAACGTGAATGTGACGGATTTCAAAGGTAACAGCGGCATGTTTTACGCCGTTATTAACAACAAGTTCGAGATAATAAGGACGCTCATAGAATTCGGGGCTAATTTGGACCAAATTAACGACGACGGTGTGACGCCGTTGGGCATTTCGATTCTAAATTATCTCTCGCATAAACATAAAATTAGCAATTGGGAGACGGCTTTTCTGCCGGAAACGACGATGTCTCAGGAGGACCAGCATGATATAAAGAACTGGTATCCCAGCAACTCGTTTATGTCCGTTAACGGATTATCATCGGCTCAGGGTTTGGGTAATTATTCAGATAATTAAAAAGCATGCATGAATTGGCTACATTATTATTTGTATTAACAGGCAAAAAGCAAAAACACAATGTCTCTTTGAGTAGCCTGAACGCCGTTTCTTGCATTTTCACCACCAAGTTCCCCGAATACACAACAGAATGTAACGTAGAAATTACCGAAGAAACAACCAAAGAATTCGCGAACATAACAAAAACCATCACGTCTCTGATACACTTCGGTGCTAAAACGAACCTCGGCGAAGCGCCCCTGCCGACCTTCCTCATGAGCATTTACACCGAAAACTATTCCATCGTGAAGGAGTTTCTAGACAACGGCGCCAACAGCAACGCTGTCACAGCCGACGAGCGTTTAAACGCTCTTCACATCATAGCCAGCAACAGATGCACCGAGGAAAACATTTTTATAGCCAACCTATTGGCTTCCTACGAGTGCGATCCGAACGCGAGAACCAGCACGACCCATTGGCAGGACCAGAAACGACAACTTCTCGGTAAGCTCGCTAGGTTTTCGATGGAATTAGTCGAAATATTAATCTTACAGTTAACGCTTTACACATGGAAGACATCGAAGAAGACGCCGGTAAAAACGCTCTGCACTTGCTTTGCATGCGAACGGATTTCCCTTCAGATTGTTGCGATTTCTTCGAGAAAATCGCATCGTTATTCCTCAACAAAGTCGATACCGATGCCACTTACTTGGGATTGGACGCGCTGCGATTGGCCATGGTCGCAGGAAATCTGAATCTGGTGGATTTCCTCTTGCGCTCCGGTCGTTTCGATCCCTACAAAAACGTACCGCACGAAGGCAACGTGCTGAGCATGTTCCTCGCGGACCGATACAAAAATATCCTCTCCAAAGAGGCGAAATCGAAGATAATAAAACACCTGGTGGCATCCAACGTGAACCCGCTCACTCCGTTCGACGTCTACGGCAACGTGTTCGAGTTCATCGAGCAGGAACTGGACACCGCCAAATCCCCCAACGAATTGAAAGAGACGCTCAAAGAATTGGCCGCTCAAACGCTCTACAAAAACATCCTCTTGAACGTCTCCAATCTACTCTACGATTTCGCCGAAGAGAAGAACCTCGATTGCGAATCGCTGAGGCCGCTGTTCAAGTACCTCACGCCCGACAGTTTCTTGGACAATCTGAAGTTGCTGTTCAATTACGACCGCATCGGCGCCAAGAGGTACGACAAGAACGCGATGTTGGACGTCATCGAACGGGTCAAGAACAAAATCGACCGGAAAATGTCGGTCAGTTCTCGCAACGTTAAGGTTTTCGAAGACGTCGATTACGACGATCGGATCGATTCGATGGATTTCAGGAAGATCCTGCTGCCCGACAAACAGGTTAATTTGTTTTTGGTAGCTTTTTGATGAGGTAGAGGGAGGTGGGGTTAGGGAGAGAAGGGTTTTAATGGATTATTCAGCTAGAAAATTTCTATTGATAGAGCATTTCTGGCAGGTTATTCTGTTTCCGCCGGGATTAGACGACGAGAGCAAGTATTTGGTATGTTTCGAATGCTATTCGAAGATGACCCAAACGACGTTTACTTGCCCGATGTGCGAGTTCGTACATTTTTGCGACAAAAAATGCTTCGCGAACAATTCGAAGAGGAAAACCCAGTTCAAGCACCCGTGTCAAATAAAAGCGCCGGAGTCCAAGGTATCGGAGGAGGCGATAGAAGAGAAAGGTGGAATTTTCGACTGGTTAAAAATCGTTTTTTTTTCAATTGTCGTTTTCTCGTAGAATTGAGTCTATTGAGCGAATGGGATAGAATTAAAACGGCTCGTGCGACCAAAGAGAAGAAATATCTGGCTCGTTTCGAGAAACACCTCCATCACGAAAAGTTCCCTTCGGATGGTAAACGCAAAGTCAAACGCCACGTAAATATTTTAAATCTATATTTTTAATTAAATCAATGACAGAACATGCAAAATAGACAATGAACGACTACTTAACTCAATCGTAGAGGCTATTTTGATGGGGTATAGGTACATAAAAACATGGTGTTTCTAGATGGTGTCGAAAACCACAACGATGGTATCGTGTTTGATCAAAAAGCACGAGACCAAACAGCAACTGAAGGATTTATCGCAAAAATTACACCGATTCAGCGCCATGGCGAAGAAGAAATTCGAGCCGACGACGCCGATGGATTCGACGGAAATTTTATTCAAAGAGATGAGTAGGTGAAATTTACCGCGATTAGAAGCGTTTCGAATAGATTATCATTGCAGATGCGGATGTGTTTTCCGGAAAATCCGTCGAAGGGAAACCTTCGGAAGCCGTTGCGAAGGTAACAAAGAAGGCGGAGAGGGCTTTGAAAAGAGATATTTCCAACGCAACGGGTGAGATTTAACTCTAGATTCTGAGAAAAAATTGTTCGTTCTAAATAGTTCTGAAGCGTTTTAAATGGTTCTAAATGATTCTGGAGCATTCCAAACAGTTCCTAATTGATTTTAGACAGTTATAAATGATTCTGTAGCGTTGTAAATAGTTCTAGACAGATCTGAATGATTCTGGAGCCTTCTGAATGGTTCTAGACAGTTCTAAATGTTTCTGGAGCGTTCTAAATAGTTCTGAGCAGTTCTAAATGGTTCTGGAGCATTCTAAAAGTGGTGCTAAAAAGTTTTAAATGGTTCTGGAGCATTATCCTAGCACAGAATTTTGCAGTGTAATGACTGTGGAATAGAAGTTTTGTTTCATGTTTTATAGCTGGTTCTACATTAAGTCTCATTTATTCCTGGTATTATACAAGTATAGCAGTGTAATTAATGCATTGGGAACTTAGTGTGAATAATGTTAGTGTAAAATTCCCGGAATTAGAGTTGAAAAATTTCCCAAAGATAACGAAATTTCCATATTTCCATGTGCTTGAAGGCAAAGGTGATAAATCGGGCGTGTGTAAATCCCCCTGCATGAACGTGTCCGATATACTGCTGAAATATCCGGATACAATAATTTCATCGCATTTCGAGCCGTTGCCCAATTTGAAGGAGCCCTATCTAATCAGAAAAACGCGTAAAGTCCCCGCCAAACCGCACTTTTTCATGGAAATGTTGTCGAAGCTGTTTCCGGACATACATTTGCCGGAAATGCTGTTGCCTTATACCTGCTATTCCGACGGCGGTCATCTCTATTACGAATTCAACAATACGAACCTGTTTTGCAGGAATTACAGTATAATGTGAATAAATTTTTCCCATCGTATTCTCGCCTTAAGTTTTTTATAGCTTACGTAAACTTTACGTTATTTTGACGCGCGTCGATCAATTAGCGTCAAAATGTTCGGGAAATTTGAAATAAACCACGACAGATTTGAATTTATGCATATAATTATAATGAGTCATATATGATTACAATGATAATTATAATTTATATATCAGATACTAAGAATAAAAGATTATATAAACCAGATCTTCATAGATGGCATAATAAAATTGAGACTAGATGTTTATTTATAACTTACGAGAGACTAGATTTTGTTTAACTACAAAGTAAATATTTTATCAATTTATTTTACTAAATAGAGAGCGTTCGGCTCAAAGTTTATTTCGAAACAAGTGTAAATGCTTTGTTTATTGTAAATTTTTTGATTAAAAGTTGAAAAAAATTAAGGGACATTAATAGTACAGAAACAAAACACGAATCTGTACGACTAATTTTCCAAAAAGAAAACAAAAATAAATTGACAAAACGCATCGACAGATATACAAAAATAAATTTCGTCAATAACACACCAGTACAATAATACAACAATAAAAATACTTTGATTAAAATTTTTCAACAGCATAACAACGGGATAAACGTTTTCCCTCTAAATACCGCTATGGACGAAAGAAATTCAAATACCTCATTTTTTTAAGTATAAGAGATTATTTTTCTACGATAGAAAAATCGTACGAAAATTTAGTGTATATTATAATACATGAGATTTTTTAATATGAAGGTCACAATGGAGCGTAGACACAAAAACATTAAAATTACTTCCAAAATGTTACATTTAATTGCGCGTTTCATGTTTGCCTCACCTCGAAATATAAAAGAAACAATTAACATTCTGACCTACTTTATTAGTTCCTTTACAAGTCAATTTTTATCGTGGAATGTCGAAGCATGGAGAAAGGAAAAATGCATTGACAATAATATTTGAAATGAAAATCCACCGATAACCGACCTATTATGAAGTAATTTTAATGAAATTTGCGACGGCTTTCAATAAATTACTCCCTATAATAATTAACTATAATCATTAAATATTTCATTAAAATTAATTAAAATACACGAATTCGAATAAATAAGTACAGATTAGTGCTGACAAATTTCAAATTTTTCAAGTAATTGATTGTACGAGCGTTAGTTTTGTTTTATTACAAGTATAAATTTGTATTTATATTTATACGATTTTTTTATGATATACATTTAATGCGAGTCGGTCATTAGAAATTTGGGAACGTTTCCTAATGCCCGACTTTTTTTACGATATAGAAATAATCCTTATTATTTCTAAAGATGTTAATTCTATAGCAATTAAATCATTCGAAAAATCTAGAAAATTTGCGTATTTTGTCTAAAAAAACCGATCGTAACTCAGAATTATTTAATTATTGCTTTATAATTTTATTGTGTTTTGAGCTAATTAGATGTTAACGTAACTTCACAAATCCTTATCCCTACGCATTCGATTAACATTATAAATATGTGCACGAAAACTTTGAAAGAATAAATCAACTACTTTTTACACGCGAGAGTAGAAAAATTATTTAGTCGTTCGAGACTTTATATTTTACTTTTTAAAAGTTATACGTACGTTACTAAACTTCTCTTCGAGAGAATTTTTATCGTTTCATTGACAACACTATTCTGTATAATTGTAAGATCACTCGAGTCATTCAGTTTTTTTTATCGATACACGTTCTCGAAAAAATCAAGTACAAGTTACCAAATAGTAAGTGAAAACAAGAACATTCTTCTTAACGTTAAGACACAATTTTAGACGTCAAGGCGTTAGATTTTTACAGGAATAGAAAGGACATTGTTACAAATCGACCGGGCGAGTTAATTAATTTTTTATTAATATTTGCAACATTGTCGAAATGTAATCTAAAGTGGGTCATTAAAAAAGTATTGTGAATCTTATCAGATTTGATAAGCTGTCGGATATGTCCACTTATCACCCGAAATAGTAGATAAAAGAGTAGATATTATTAATTTAGAGAAATCTAAAGCCTCACACAACGTTACTGTTTAAGAAATATGCTCTTGTTCTACTCGAAATATACATTTATATTTCTGGAAGAGCTATAAGAATAATATTATTACTTATTTAATTCTTACGTGAACAACTATCTAAAGTGCGATTTCCTTTTTTTCACTTAATAGAGAGGCTTTATAATATCATTATAATATGGATCACAAGCAAATTTTTAATGCAATTCAGCCAAATCACTAATATTCGTCAACGAAATAGTTTCCACATAAACAAACGCTTAGTATCCCCGATCGGGATTTAAAATACTCAAAATAAACCGGTGGAAGTTTTAAATTAAATTTATTTATGACAAAACTATTTCAATAACTCGACTACACCTAAGGAATGTTTAATTTTTTTGGCTTAGCTAGGCGTAAGCTTGGCACAATATAGTTCAGATTTTTAGCCTGAAAATATGCATTCGAAAATGATCCAATCTATTGAAGAAGGGTCTGAGGAAAGTAACACCAAAATTCCTCGCAGGAAGTAAAATTGTGGTGTTTTTGCGATTATTCTTCTCAAATACTACCACAGTGGATTTAACTTGGTACATAATACAGAGATTATAAAGAGATTCTTTTAATAAGTCCCATACTGACCAGTAGCAATAACGAGTGAAGTTGAAAATGACCACTACATTAGCAGATGTATTTCTCTACACGTCATAATGACAAAATAAGTTGAAATAGCACGCTAAAATAAAGAGTTTTATATTTAACTGTATCACAATCGCTTTGACATATTTTAAATTGTAATCAACACAAAAAAAATTGTTTAATCTTACTACTCGAATAGGAAAAAACGAAATCTTTCCTATTTTGATCTAAAAAATTAACACTTTTTACCATCACCTACATCGCAATGCGCTACTTTTTTTCAATTTAAACAGCAACTCTAATTTGCAAACAAATTGGTCAGTACGAGTACCTACTTAAAACCGATCCAACCAGGTACTTAAGAAATTATCTAACTGGTCTCTTCGATATGTATGCGTTCGTTTCGCTCGTCGACGAAACGAACAAAAAAAATCGACCGAATTACATTGAAATTTGTTCCGGGTTAAATTATTAAACGTGCTGGACGAACTCCGGATTGAGAAACGAGAAACCGGTGAATTCGGATTGATCCAGATTCATCATGAACAATTTATCCGTCGGCGTCAGATCGGTTTTCTCCGACGTGAATTGCTTGTCGAAGTTGCTCACATCTTTGCGGTGTTTCTGTTGAATTCCACAAATGAAAGGTCCGCACGAGATCGGTTGGGAAAAGCTGTTATGTTATAAGAAAAAGTGCTACTTACGATTTTCGGCTTGAACGGCGGCTGTACTTCGCGGTTTTCGATCTTGTCCCAATCGATTCGCCGGAAAAACGCGTGCGATCTGACGTCCTCTTCGCCTCGGGCTCCGCAACCTAATCGTTTGTTCGGATATTTGGTCAAAAACTGGAAAGTAAGAGCATTTTTAGTTAGATACACCAACAGCGCGAAGTCAACTGTTGCTTAGGATTTAAGAATCTCGAAAGGGTTGATGCTCGAGGAAAGTTACTGCTACAATGAAGATTACTTAGACCGGAGAAATGCTATTGAAGGAATCATTAAAATTATCTTCAAAATTACTGAGATTACTAAAATTAGATTTAGCAAACCATTTAGAAGAGATTTCCATAACTTAAGAACAAACGTCCATCAAGAGAAGACGTAGAGTGACAAAATTTTAAGTCTCATCTAGAAGAAGGAGGAAACATAGAAGACATTTACAAAGATTTAGAATGAGAAGACCTAGAAGACTAGTATGAAAGTTACAATGAGGAGATCTAGAAGATCTAGGATACCTATATGAGACTTAGAACGAGGGAACGTAGAATACCTAGAAGACCTGTTTGAGACCTAGAATAGTAAGACATAGAAGACCTGTTTGCAACCTATAAGACCTGTTTGAGACCTAGAATGATAAAACCTAGAACCTAGATAAAAGTGTTCCTTACCCCTTTGCAAGCGTCTTTGGCCTCCTTGGACAGCCCCTTGGGGTAGCTGACGTTGTGATCGGTGATGGCGGCGAAGAGTTCCTCCTCGTCTTCGCCGTCGAAGGGCGGCTGGCCGATGAGCATTTCGTAGAGGAGCACGCCGTACGCCCACCAATCCACCGATTTCCCGTACGGTTGGTACAAAATGATCTGAATAAAATAAAGCGTGAAATTATATCGAACCGGCGGCGGCGGAGCGATAAAACTCACCTCCGGGGCGATGTAATCGGGCGTGCCGCAAAACGTCTTGGTCGTTTTATCGCCCGATATGCCCTCTTTGCACATACCGAAATCGGCGATTTTGATGTGACCGTCTTGATCGAGCAGCACGTTGTCGAGCTTCAGATCGCGGTAAATGATGCCTCTGGTGTGCAGGTAGAACAAACCGATCGCTATTTCCGCCGAATAGAACCTACACCGACAATTGCGATTAGATTATTCCACGTGTAAACTACTACATCGTCGACTTACACGGCGACCGGTTCTTTGAATTTCCCGCATTGTTGTATTTGAAACATCAAATCGCCGCCGTTGACGTACTCCATGACGAAGTACAGGCGATCCTGCAAAAGGACGTGACTGTGAGATGTGGAATTAGAATAGCCGGTCGTCGATTTACCATCGTTTGGAAGCAAGAGTGCAATTGGACGAGGAACGGCGGTTTGCTGGAGAGGGCCAGCACGCGCTTCTCCACCATCGTGCATTCGACGTCGTCGTCCTGGATGATGATGTCCTTTTTCAATATTTTAATGGCGTACAATTCGTCGGTGCCCTTCCGTTCGGCCAGCATCACCTTGCCGAAGGATCCCTTACCCAGCACCATCAAAAAATTGAAATCCGTCGCCCGTATTATGTCCTTCTTTCCCATGTTATGCGGCACATCTTTATCGACCAGCAGAGATGGCTTTTTTGTTATCGACGCCTTCTAAAATTAGAAACGCAATTAATACCTTCAATTCCGGGCTCACCTTTCGTATTTAGGTCGCGCAAATGAGTCGTCGGAACTTGCAAGAAATCAGAACACTTACAAGTCTCCGTATAAACACTCCCAACGCGCGAAGGAATCAAAGCCAAAGAAGTACACAGAGCCCCTTTGCTGAAACCGGAATCGTGAAACTACAAACTTAATAACGACTTTCTCTGCAAACTTCGCTTGCATATAGAACCGCGTAAAATCAGGGACAAAGAATTGTGGCGTTGTAAACTAAATATTCCCTCTGGATACATCAAAGGCGAGATGTAGAGTTACTTACTCTTTGTTGGTTCTTGAACGACACCATATCGATGCCCTCCTCGGGCACGGGCACGTTGTAAAATTCGCCCTCTTCCTCGGTGAGCAGCTTGAACCATCCGACGGCCGGTGCTTTGAGTATTTCCGATATGCCGAAGGACAACGAGCCCATGAAGTCGTTGCGCGATGTCCTGTCCCAGTCCCAGATTTCGATCAGCAGTCGCCGATCCTTGTCTTCCGGTTTCAACTCGCTAAAGAGCATTATATTTGTTAAATACAAGCTCGAAGGATACTTGAACGATATGTGATGTTATTGGAGCGCCTCTTTTGAGTGTTGTTGTGATGGTGGTTGCGTGCATTGAAGGGGTAGATTACATTACAATATGGTAGGAAAACCACAGCGGTATTTGATCAATAGAGGGGAGCGAAGCTCGAGTACCGGACAACAAAGGGCTGGGAATATGAGGAATTAACGAGGACATTTCGATTCGTTAATAAATTACTCACAACGTAATCGTTTCGTTCCAAACGGGATTTAGGTTCGATTTGATCGTCCTCGTTTTCTTCTTAACATTATCGGAGTCCGGAATGAGTTTGAGCTTGACGTAGGGATCGCTCAGACCGTTCGGATCCATCGGAATGAGATTTTTGCCCTGTAAAACTGCATTAAAAAAATAGAGTTAAATTCGGTGCATTGTGTCGCGTGGAAATGCGCTCGAACCTTCGACGACGAGCTTGCTTCCCGTGCAGCTGATTTTTAATTGGATTCTCCCTCTGCGCTCGGTGTGATCGCAGCCGCACAAATTCGGAACGCTTTCTTCGCAGCGCTTGTGAACGTTCATATCGCATGCTGCAAGGAAATTCGTTCACAAATTAGAAATTACGCGGTGCATTCGAGTCGTAACAGGCGCGGTATTAATATAATAGTGGGAATAATAACCGTTTAATATTTTAATAAACATAAACTAATCGTAAATTTTGATATCGGATTTTATTAGCGGAACAGTTGGATGCCGGCCAATAATAATAAACGCAATTACGGAACCGCTACTAATTACTACATCGATTATTATTTACTATTAACGAGTGTATTTTAATTGGTTTACCTGTGCATTTCATCCCTTGGTGAATCACTCCGTATAGTAGTGAACCGCAATGATCACAAAATGTAGGAGATGAATATGTATGCACTTTAAAATTGTGTCGAGTTCGAGTGTCCTGATAGACGAAAAAAGTTGGTTAATATTCGGAAATCCTACAGGGCGATTTACTTACATCTGAATCGGCTCCTTTGTCGACCCCGGGACAAGTAAATGATACGTACTCGTGGCACCTTTTGTGCACCACGAAGCTACAAACTGCAAAACAAACGGTTACATTCGCAACGGAAAAATGTGAAAAACTCACCTTGGCACTGAAAACCTTGTTTTCCGAAACCCCTGTAACAAAGAAGGCGCGTCAATTTTTTCTTCAGTAACTTGATCATTTGAGGGTGATGATTCGAATGTGAGCAACTCATCAAATGGTGCGAAATGTTTTAATGAATGCGCAAAATACTCGTGTATTGTTTATTTCGGTTCGCGCCGGCCGAATCTAGTTGTAATCGATTTTTATTAATCGAAATTAATTGGTTACATACTATCTTTTGAGTATATTGTCCTTTTTATAACCACATTTATTGACGCACCCCAATATTTTCGCACGTGTTTGCATTTTTTTAGACCCTTCACAAAGGGCTAAAAGTCTACTTTTGAAATATACTATAAGAAAGATCCGATTTTTCAACATCAAATAAATAGGACCAAACAACCTTTATAATAACAACGTAAATCGCATTTCCTTCAGACCCTCAAAAAAGGGTTAAAAATCCTGAAGGATGAAAAGAGCTCGATTTTTCAACGACGGCTCTAGTTTATCCTTCTTCTACAATTTATTAACATGAATTAAACTTGTTGAATATTGCATTACTGCATCCACAAGTGATGTGATAGAAGTTCCAAAACCTTTCCAGAATCAACGAATATTTCTCGTCCAAACTTCCACTATAAAAACGAACATCGATTTCATTAAATACTTACATATTCCATCGTAATGATTGGTTTTCCTCGAGGAAAACAGACCGAGCTTTGTCGCTCCCCCACCTTTCCAAGTTCGCCTTTCCAATCGATTCGTCTTCCACAATTCAATTCAATTCAATTCAAAGTTGTCGTTTCCATTGAACATTCATAATATTCCGAGTGTTTGATAAAGAGAAAACGGCCGCAAAACCGGCTGGAAATTTCGAATAAACGCGAACGAAAAAAAAAATCAGAATTGAAAATCCAATCGACCGAACGCAGCACGAATCGAATCAATTCGGGTCGACATTGTGAAGAAATCGAGAAATTAAATATTTGAATAATATAATCGATCGATAAGTAACTATTTGTTTGGATTAATCGCTACCAAATAATGCTTAGGTACATTTTACATTGCAATTATACTGTAAATTAATAAATATACTGTTCTATTATAATCTAATCTGCATTATAGAGACTGTTCTAAATTCAACAGTAATATTTTTACAAAGAGATAAGATAGGTGTGAAATAAACAGTATATCACCTAAAAGAAAGATGTCTAAATAGTGCTCAATGTTTATAAAATTTAATAGAATTAGAAAGCAAAAAATCGTCTTTTTAGTAGTATTTTCAATATCAATAATTTCGTATTCACGCAAGCAAAACTGCTTATTAAATTAATCCAGAAAATTAGCGTTTCTACGAGCACCGAAATTAAAAAAAATGAGTCCTCTCGAAGAGGAAACTCCATTATCCCATCGGAAAATTGCGTTACGTGTGAATTCGACATTAAGAAACGCGAAGGACAAGGACGGAAGGACGAAAAAAAAACCGCGGCAAGGCCATCGCAGTCGCCACGAAATTTATAAACAACCCTTCATGACGCGGAGCAGCCGCAATTTCATACTCATAATCATTCCTGATTTCGTGACCGATGTGACAAATACGAGGCGGGTTGCGATAGGGGGATCGTTTTTAGCGAGGTTTTTTTTTTCGCTTTCCTGGTAATTTCATTACTCCAATAATTTCCCAAACGCTCTAATCTTCCCCGAATATCTATCTATTGATGTATCGAAAAACGTATTTATTATGCAACAAGTGGGCTCTTGAAACAAATTTTCTCTAGTTGTAATTAAAGAGATGTTATTGATGCGATGATTGTGATAAGTGTATTTATAAATAAATAAGTTATTATATAATTGATGAAAGAAATACCTGCACGAACGTTGTTTTTTTAGTAATTTGAATAATAATGCATGCAAATGCGGTAGGTATAACTGCGTAATACTTTACAAGGTGTCTTGAAAGTTGATTTTTCCATAATTATTTTAATCCGAATCGGATAAAAATATCCCGCGAGTATATTAATTAGACAAATGAATCCGCCGAAAGCTGGTTTATCGGATCTGCGTCTGTGATTTCACGGACGAAAACAAATAAAAAAATCAAAACTAGTTTTCAAGCGAGGACCTTGGAAACGTTGGCACAAATTGTACGAACGTATAATACATATGTATCTATCAATTATTTCATTAATTTTTAATAATTCCATACATAAAACCCGCAGCATGTGTATGTACGACCACAAAGGATAATTGGTATGCAACCGAATGAATAATTTTACCGAACAAACTATAAACATTCCTAGTTCAATGACTTTCACTTTGAAGCACGGCAAGGTCGCCGTAAAAATACACAAGCTAATCCCCAGTTTATACGTGTACGAAACATTCCTGGGGTCCATCAATCGGTTTTTCAGCAGCGTAATATAAGGAAATCGTTAAATTACGGTTAACGCAATCGCGACGCCAGCCCGTAATTGCCCAAACTGGAATGCGTATTGGAAAACACGATTGTGAATTGCAAATCCGTATGTAAATTTGTACAATTACCGTACCAGTTCGAAATTAATTTTGCGTGTACGAATTAGTTAGCGTTACATCGAAATTAGGTTTAATTGCGTACGTATTTTAATTTGTCGTTGGAATAATCATGATTCGCCCGTCAAACGTTGTCCCCTTGGACATTGATTTCATTAATTATTGTCCCTTAAAACCCGCGCTCAATAAATAAATCATTTACTGTTAATTGCATCTTGTACTGTTATTTTATCATCAATTTCTTCTTTATACATTCATCATACATCCTTAAAACACCTTTAATCCCGTTGATATAGGTAAAGAAATTAAATTAAAAAAACGAACAACACTAACACTAATTAATAATCGTTAGATGAAACTAAAAATAAAACGCCAACGCGATCGATGAAGTGGAATAAGGTGCATAATCTCTTTTAGAAAATTGCCTTTCTCTCTGGGGGAACGCGAAATGTGCACTTGATGCGATACTCCAATTACCTAGTACGTCAAATCATATTACGTTATATCTGATATTGATTGTAGAGTCTGATTCAGTTTATGCGCTATTATAAAACAGATTCAAAGCGAGCATATTCTTTTGTCTATGCTCACTTAAGGGACTATTTATATACAGGATAATGTTTTTTTTTATATTTCAGCACAATTCCAACAAGTTAAACATGTTACAGAGTAACATTATAATCGCACTTGAAGGTAATTTTATTTATGATTTTTTCAGCCGAAAAAATATTAAACCAATATTTGACTAATAAATATCGGTGGGTATTAACTTTCGTACACAGTTAGGTAATTAAATCGTCTATAAGCAAACACCCGGTGTAGCTCCTGGTCGTTTATCAAAAAAAAATATAACACATTAGTTGTCCTTGACTGATAAAAACACTTCCTTTTCGGAAAATTATCCGATAAGAACGATAATTATTTAAAACCGTTTGACCTGCCAGCACACCTATTTAACGTGCTGGATTTTTAATAGCACACGCCCGAAATTAATGTATAGCCAATTATCGCGATTCGATCGGGTTTCGGGACGTTTAAAATAAATAAGCGCCATTAAAACCGAGCGAAAACTCGGCGATTTGACTTGTTAAATTGTTTATGAAATCGCCGGAATCGGCTTCTGAAAACCATCTGGCACCTACACGAGCGCGCGAAATGATGGATCTGTCGATACGAATCGAATTTTCCATAAATTCGGAAATATATTACTTGCGGAAATTCGCGGACAGTTTTACTGCTGTACCGGTTTATTTAGTGTTCTACACAGAACTGCTTCATTGCCACTCTATACGCATAAATAATACAAGGTGTTTCTTAATTAATATGCAATATTTTTAGGCATATAAAACACCCTGTCTAATACAATTTTTGCACAAAATATGCCTTTAAAACCTACTTAATTTTCATGCAAACTCACGGGTAAATTAGGATTGCAAGGACAACTTCATTGCCATCACTCTATACGCATAAATAATACAAGGTGTTTCTTAATGAATATGTAATATTTTTAGACTTATAAAACATCCTGCCTAATGCAATTTTTGCACAAAATATCCCTTTAAACCCCACTCAACTTTCACGAAAACTCACGGGTAAATTAGGATTGCAAGAGTCCTAATAAAACCTTTATTTCATTTGGTACAGTGACGTTTTTGATGACCTCTCCTGAGCTTAATCCTCCCGTCCGTAAGCCGGACGTGTTCCCGTTTTTTTTTCATCCTCGCCTTCCGCTGTATATCCGTAATAGCCTTTCGGGAATATCTCCCGATTAATTTAGCCGTTGAAAGATGGGAGATATTACGCGCCTTTTGCGATTGCTCGACGAAAAATCCGTAATGGGAAAATAAATTGGCCGTTTCCGAGTCGCGGCTTTAAAGCACTTTCGTCGCGTTAAAAGTTTCCAAACTTATTAATTAGTAAAGGTGATCGAATTAGCGGATGAATAGGGACGGCGGAAACTTTTTTAGCGTTTTTTTGATCGTTTGTTGTAAATGCACGTTAAAGTTAACTCTTTGAATGTTCCTCGTAAAACCTATAAAAGGGATATCGATTGATCCAGCAGCTACGCCGGGCAATAAACACGCATAAGAGAAAGTTATGCGATGCTCATCGGCATCGCCATTTGCTTTAATAATCGGACGCCGAGCATCGAAATTAGTAAGTGAAAAATGGGCTCTCGTAAATTGAGTTTAATTTAATTGAGCGGCTAATGCGCGCCTGTTTAATTCTTGAACAATTCATTCGAGGCTAACATCAAAGTCGACTCTCCGGTTGTCAGCGTGTGATATATTGTATAATAAAGAAATATATTTTACGCGGAGAATAATTATTTATTGTTTTCTTTATCGCGGATAATTAGCGAAAGTGGGAATTTTTGCGGAATGCCATATGACGCGCTTTTTACGTAATTAATGCATGAGTTTATAGAATATAACATACAGAGTGTTTAGGAAGTATAAAAAGTGTAGATTATTTTTAATTACTCCAGAGAGTGGTGTATGAATAAATTGTGTAGGTATAAGATTCCCTATAATTTCCACCGGGGAATCACCTCTTGAATATTTAAATCGAGTATCCTAAGAAATAACAACGGTAGATTTTAAATTTTTAATCGAGTTGAACGCTGTAATGAGAAATATTTTTTTAATATATTCCCCGGATTCGGACATCTTCGTAATTTAGTATTTACAGTCGAGAGTACATAGGGATCTGTTATATGAATGGAGCGAGTCGCTTCAACTGTGGCAGGGAGAAAAATCAATTATTACCTAGTCCCTAGGGATCTCGGATCTCATTTCAACGCACCAGCTAACGTGAAACCGGAGCGAAATCGGGCCGTCCGATGAATGAAACTCACCATATAAAATCCTTGCAGTGCGAACAGAACGTCGGCTGCTTGAAGAATCTCGGTATGAACCGGTGATCTTTGATATTGTAGACGTTTTTCTTTTTCAGCGCACCTTTCCGGCCGCGTAACCGCAGCCCGAACTTCGTGTTCATGTCGTTCCCATCGTCGTTGAAGTCCTCCTCCGCCATTTTCGCGCTTCGAATCGCTCGTCCCGGATGGGTTTTCTCTTCCTAAACGGACGCGAACGTAGACGGGAACAGCGAGGAGAGCGCGCCGCGACTGTCAAACGTCAGGGAATGTTCGGGCGACGTTCCGGCTCGCATTCAACAGTTGAACTGAAACTCGGCGCTGGCGCGAACGCGCGCCTCTCCGTCGGATCGGCGTCGTCGTCGTAAGCGGGTTATTCGCCTGCACGGCGGTAAGTATGTGGAGTGAAAACGCGAATCGACTAACATCAATTTTTAGAACAATGATGCCTCCGTGCGCGCTTTGTGGAAATCTATAAATCGCCGGACGGCTCTGCTCTGTTTGTATATAAGGTCACGCTGTTCCGGACCTTTTTGCTCATTTGCTGCTCTAAACAGGTGTTTTCCTCTCGTATCCTACTTTTCTCTAAAGAAATATTATTGCTTATTTACCACTAAAAGTTGCAGAATCGTTCCTATTAACAATACAGGAATACAATATTTCACACTAATGGTGACACTTAAATCTACCATGTAGCAGTAACTAGTAATATTTCCTGCTAAAGATACTATTGATTCAATAAATGCAAAAAATAAAAGGGAACTAGTAACACTCTAGGTCACTCTTCGAAGTGACCTAGTACTTGGTACTTCAGTCCACTAGTATGACTTTGTCTTGCTGAGATACTGATTCAATAAATGCAAGATAAATAAAAAGGAATAGATTTTATAGAGAAATTGAAAGGAAATACAACAGAAAAAATCCTGTAAGTGACTTACTTAGTAGATAAGTTCACTAGCACACTAGTAAGACTCTCTCCTGCTAAGTTACTGATAAATAAAAGCAAAATAGTACTTAAATCTACTAGAACACTAGTACCATTCCTGCTAAGTACTATTGATTCATTAAACGAAAAATAAATTTAAAGGAATCAAACAACTCTCTGTGTCTCACCATAACTTGAGTTCTAGTATATGAAAGGACTCTAATAAAAATGTCTCTCTTTACTCCTGATGCTATTGTTAATTACTTAAAATAGACAGAACAATAGTCATAGAAATCTGGATGTAGGTGTGTCAGGAAGGAGAGGAAACAGCAGAGTATTCAAATCTAGGAAGATTAAGGTTTCTAGCACGTGCTATAATCTTAAAGCGATTACTTGTAGTTCTGATTTGAAGAAAGGAGGATTAAAATCCGTTGTTTGAGTACTTTTTTTCTCTCCTGTGTAATAGGTGAAAAAATTGAGAAGGTCGTAATTGAAACGAGCGGTTAATCTCGTTAAAAATAAACCGTTCGCGTATATATTAACCGATCCGCAAATTTTCACGTAAGTCTTCCCGTTGACACAATATTTAAAAAATCAATGGTCTTAAAATAACACCGAATGTGGAGTTCGCTGTAGGGTGCATGAATTTTTGATAGCAACAAAGGGGTTCGAGGAATCAGAATCGTGACGTAAATAAATAAAACGGTAAGCCTTGAACAAGCTTTATTAGTGCAAAAACACAAAAGTGGATTCGAGGTAAATCCAAATGTGTATCTACATCAGTAAAGTCAAGTAATTTTTCACAAAATGCAACATTAATTCATATAGAGAAAAACATACTAAAATATTTGATAAAACCCTATGCAAGCTTTTACAATTATAAATCTATGATACATGCAGATAGTCTATAATATATTACATTAAGTTTACAAACATTCTTTCAGGCCAAATCACAATAATTAGTATCTAGTATTTTTGTCTATTTTTTTTATCCAAACATCGACAAATGAGTTTGTACGAACATTTAATGAAAAAATTTTTCAGTTGAAAAAATGGGAACCGATGCAAAACCTCCAAACGCGCCCCGCAATCATAAAACTATATTGCATTGCAATTTTTTACACGGTGCAATATATTGAATTCGAATTGCAATGCAATATATTGCACGGCGTGAAAACGCTCTAAATCTCATCGAAACGAATTAAAGTATCGGTGGCGTTTCGAGGTCCCCCTCGCCCTTTCAATCCGGAATAATTTCTCGATCACCCCCGCGAATGTTCTGGACAAAAATTCGATCACAATGCCTGTTTGTCTACCCCCCAACAGCTCCCCAAATTTTCAAACTGTATATACAATATTATTTTGGTCCAACTAACATGTGGCAGGTTAATGATGCAGTCAGTATGTGCAGTCGAAATTTTTTAGAACATATTTTTCTGAATGTTCCGAACGGTACGAAAAGAACGCCAGTTGTCGCGGTCGGTTCAGAAAATATGGACGTTTACAAATAATCACACGAAATTATGTACCCTGCTAATGTTTACGAGTAGAAACTTTTTCTTTACGAGAAAAAATAAATAAAATAAATTGACTGGATTCGTGTTCGCTCGAACAGAAAAATTTTGATATGGCTTCAGTTTTATTTCGAATTCGCGCTAATTACCCATCAGCAGTAATACAAAATATAAATGCTTTTCGAACCGATTCACCTAAATTAGCTAATGAAATTTCTAATCTCAGAATATCGATCAAATTAATCGAACGTTTCTACAGATTGTCTAATTTTTTATGTGGAAATAATAAGACAATTTTCTAATGTGCTGCACCGATGCTCGGGAAAATGCAGGATTTTCGCAAGCAACGGGATGCGTTCCAAAACCCCAACTTTTTACTAGAGTCGTTCAAAAACAACCAGTTGTGCAACAAATAGTTGTAATAATGACAGTAGACAGTTTTAAATGGAAGCTTTTTTGTGTTCTGTGTTATGTTTTTCTGCCCGAGTAGTTTTATGAATTTTGTTTTGAGTTTTTAATGAGTGTATTGGTACTATTGGTAGTGCTAGTGCATTGTATTTTATTTTGTAAAGTACAGAGCAAGTTTTGGAACGCACCCCCGGTTTCACTTGGTCTGACTGACACACAACGCGTTAACGCTTAAGTAAATATAGCAAGTTATTGGTTTTTTTTTGTTAATGAATTAATAGTTTATTATTTGTACTTAAAAGAATTCAAAATAGCGGCGACACCGACGAATTTCTTCCCGAACAAATATCACTCGTTCAAATCTTATGTACAAAAAAACATGACATTTCGGAAGTGCTGCATTATTTTCGATAAAAATCATAACAATAATTCACAAATTTAATTCTCATTTATTTATTTATTAATCAACGTAGCATTTGACACACTACTAAGGCCTCTATAAACTTCGAAATTATCTCTCGTACCGCAAAATATTCAAAAATAAAACATCTACCCAAGGTAAAACTATATACAATCAATAAATATCATCATATGTACACAATCACTTTCAACGAATCTCGTTTTGTACTATATTTTATATTATTTTTTTTAGACGCGCCGGGAAAGTAATTCGCCAATGCCACCGCGATTATCCAGTAAACGAAAGTAACAACACCAAAAAAATAAAATAAAATAAAATTCCGACAATCCTTGGTTATTTTTTAGTTAATATACAAATAACTACTAAATAGCCTATCACCATTTAATTAGCTAATTCGCTAAAATATTGACATGATTCTACACCAGTCTTGTGTAACACTAATAATTATAATAGTTTAATCTACGGGACACGTCACCTGCCACACAACCCGCTCGATTTCATCTACAATTTAATAGTAATTAACCAATTGCGTTAATTACCCTGCAAATTTAAGCGCAAGAATAGTTAAATTGGAAGAATTACAGACTTGGAATTTCGAAGATCTCCAGACATGAGTCACATAGAATTATTTTTGGGTGTTTGTAAGTGTATTTAAGGGATGAAATCGAGGTGGTGGTGCGGGGGGAGCGGCGCAATAAAATATCTATTACGTAGTGCAGCCTTTAGATCATATAGTAAAAATCTTAAATATTTGTTACATCTTAATAATGGAAGTGATTAAATGGTTTACAACTACTTTCTTGTATCATTTGAGTAAAAATGTAGTATCTAAATTGATGAAAAAAAAATTATTAACGCAATTAAAACTAGAACCAGTATAAGCGCATTTCTATGGTAACTAATATATAAATATAACCAACCCAACTTTAATAATATATACAAAAACAAATTAATACGAAAAAGTGCCAAGGGAGTCGTTTTTCATTTCATCGTGTCGTTTATTAAAATTATTGTGCTGGATATTTGATTTGATGGTAAACGGTAAATTGCATATTACAAAAATGATTTTTTTTTGATTATCATTTCTGCGCAACGTTACGGTAAAAATTTCAAGTCTTCTACAATAGAAACAATGCAAAGACTTTAATAATATTTGCACGAAAGCTCCCTACGAGATAATACCGAATTATAATAATTGTAAGGCGGAAAAACGAAACAAACTTCGATGATGAAAACGTTTGGCAACTACGCTAATTCGCTGTTACTTTTTTAATATAATATATAAATATTTTCTCTAATTTAAACATCTATTCTGAAACCCTGTGCATTATTTGACGAGCGAGAGCAAAAAGATCTAAACAATTTATTTCTACAAAAAAGACTCACCGTCTAAAATACTAATATTTGTCTCTCAATAAGGCGTTATGTTTAAAAACTAGTTAAAGCGTAATTTCCTTGTCTAGGCAAACCGATGAAAAAAAATCAATATTTCAAATTTGACAATCTCCGGGGCTAATTAAACTTTGTAATACTATATCATGCGGGCGTTAAATTCAAAATATCCGAACACACTTTTAACCGGTTTTACCTAGAGTCGGGAATCGAAATAAAATATGTACAAAAGAAATTTTGACAATCACAGAAAAAAGATCTTTGAAACAACGATATTTAAAAAAAAATTATATACAAATCTATTGATTGGAGTTTAAAAATCAACGTCGAAGGAACTGAATGCTGACAAACGCGCGTTTAATATTTAATTGGACAGCAAATTTCATTTTTTCCAATGAGAAAAACCTACATATACAATATATAAATAGCGAAAAAACACCTGATTATTATTTTGTAGTATTTAGTAAATCCGAATAACTATCCTACACAATCCAAAAATATTATCTGTTACATCTACCATATATATATTTCTAAATCTACCCCTATGGGTTCTTTAAGATATATCAACTTTTTTTAAACTAGTCGAAAAAATCCGAAACTACTCATTAATTCTTCACCAGCTATGAAAATTACGCAGATGCGAGAATAATTAACAAGTAATCCGCTGTAGGCAATGTGTATTTGAATGTGAAACTATCTTTGTTAAATTTACAAATTTTCACACTAGACTGTTGTAATACTGGTCGAATGATTTCCAAAAATTTAACGAGATAGTTCCGCGTACCAAAAGTATTTTTCAATAGTTTCTTTTTTTTTAAATATCACAACTATATAATTCCATAACTCTATTGACGCATATAATATCCCTGTTGAAAACACTGAAAACATTTAGTGCATAGTTGTTTGTTTAACGTCGAACATAGAGTGTACGAAAGATTATTACATTTACAGGCACATCAAAACATTTTAAAACACTAAATTTTTTTAACACTACTAAGTAATTATTTTACGCTGTATCCAACCCCCTATAATCCCTCGAAAAGTGTCGCTTAGCCGAAAAACTGATTATATTTATGATAAATCTCTCCCTTATTTACTTTGACACAGACGCGATTGCAAAATTGACTAGCTAGATATAGATTATTTGCTCGTAAGATTGAATAAAATGATAAATTGCGAACAAAGATGGGATTATTTTCATAAAACTAATTCGGCCGAGAAAGCCGATCATTTGAGATTTACAAAAAAAAAAACGTAGTAACACAAATTACTTAAACCATTCAAATCGTACAGGAACAATGCAACCTAACCGTACAAAATTAAATACGAGTATATGATTTGTTTCAAGTTATCTAATACTGAATTATAGGCAGTACAAAACAAATATCAATTCAAACGTTGAATTTTGACAATAAATATTGTTTGGACGATTAAATTCTGCTTTTCAACATTTTCTATCATCCCTTGTTAATATTAAATTAAATTCTGCAAGTATTAAGTGCATTGATATTTGTTTTGCACCAACTATACTTTAATTCGATTTAAAATAAACCTTTCAAATTTCGAAGATTATTAGAGTATTGAATCGTTAAATAGTCAAGGTGGTATATCTTGAAACAAACTTAACTAAATTAATCCTATGCTTAAATTAATAAAAAAAGCCAAATTATTTAAACCACAAACCTTCTTAATACCCCAGTGTTACAGTGTCCCTATAATTTTAAAATCAGTTATAATTATAACCAAGCAGTGTAATAAAGCGATAATTACGATAATATAAAAGCGAGATTAGATAATGGGACGTTTTTTTCTTCTTTAATTTAAATAAACACTCGAGCATTAAAACTAATTATTACGAATCTTTGTGTTACTACTCGAAAAAACTAATTAGTAAGCTCTAAAACAAGCTCAATTAATATAAAATAAACATGAAATTGTTAAATCTCCACCACATCGCAGGAGATTATGAATTAGAACTAAAAACTTAATATCGGCGCGGCGGCTAAAATTGTTTTTTGATTAGTTAATTAAGCGCCGAAAAATTTGTATAAAAGTTAAGATATAATACGAAGAAGATAATTAATGTGTGAATATATTTAATTCAAATTATTTAATTCTATTTGGACTAAAATGCTAAACGGTAAGTTCGCCCGACAAGCGATTTTTTTTTCATTTATTTTGATATGAAGGCAGTATGTAAAATATTTGAGAATAATAATAAAATTCCACCGTTCGATAGCGCAATGGAAAAGGCGTCGTGTTCGAGTGCGTGAACTAAATATTTACATAAAAAAAGCACTCAAAAATGATGCCTCGTTTTCATAAAAATAAACAGTACGTTGTTATTCAACACAGATTAATACCCTTAACAAGGCAAAATTGCCTCGATTTAAAAAAAACCATTAACAATTAAATTAAAAAAAAAATATATAACACTCAAAGCAAGAAAATAAAAATAATAGTTAGGATAGGCACTAATTTCATAATGTATAAATTAGGATAAATCACATTCGGTTTAAAGTCTCTTACAAAATAACGTAAATCCCTTCGAAGACTCATGAAAACCAATGTCACGAAAATCAAACGTAATTCTACAAAGAATAGTACGAAGAAAAAAAAAAGAGAATAATCTACAAAGAAGCAGTTTTCGTTTCAAAAAAGAATAATTATCGAACCAAACGAGCGACATCCACAACGCAACTTCTCATTAAAAAAAAACAAACACCGGACCAAACAATTTGAGCGGCTCGCATCCGGTCCAACAAACTCGATTCGCAAATCCGTTCGATTCTCGACGTTTCCAGCTCCCACCGTCTAATCGTACCACAGCGGCTGGTACTGGTGGCTCTTCGCCGGGCTCAGCGGCGCGAACCCGTACGACGTCGCCGCCACCTGAGCGTGCGACGGGAACTGCAGATGGGCCGGCAGCGGATGGCTAGCGTGGCTGGCTATCACCGGCCTGGCGCTCGCGTGGTGAGCCGGCGGCGGTGGCAGGGCGCGCCTGAAACATTCCCACAATCAATATGTTACGCCTTCAAGAAGCCCGTTCGGGTATGGACGCGAGAAGCGGTCGTTTAAAGCGGGCATAAAAATCAACCAAATCGGTAGTTGATAAGGTGAAGGTAAGGTGGAGGAAGGTGGAAGGAAGGTGGAGGAAGGTGATAGAAGGTGGAGGAAGGTGGAGGAAGGTGGAGGAAGGTAAAGGAAGGTGAAAGAAGGTGAAGGAATGTGAAAGAAGGTGAAAAAAGGTGGAAGGAAGGTGGAGGAAGGTGGAGGAAGGTAAAGGAAGGTGAAAGAAGGTGAAGGAATGTGAATGAAGGTGAGGGAAGGTGAAGGAAGGTAAAGGAAGGTAAAGAAACGAAAAGTAAAGTAATCCAAAGAAGGAAAGATCTGGTTCATATTTATGACCCGCGTGTAGTATATTAAAATGGAGACGAGTACGATTAGTCTTTTTACTACTAAAGCTACATCTATTTTACAACCATCGTACTTCTCTCCATTAACCACAACCTACTAAACTATATCCAAAAAAACCCACATCAAAGTATATGTATATCACCGTTACTTATACTTCTCGTGATCGATACTTCAAACGAATAATCATTTTACTCTACACGACAAACAAATTCGTACTAAGAAAGAGATCGACTCTATTAATAATTTGTAATCTACTCTTTCCCAGTTGGATGGATTTAACTAACATACCCGGCGGGCGCCACTTGGTGCGTGGCAGGCAGGTACGCAGGTTGCGTGGTCGTGACGTAAACGGGCCTCCTGTAGAGCTCCGTCGTCTGGTGGTAGAGCGGTTGCCCGGCCGCCGCCAGCGGATGTTGCGGCGAAAGGCGCGGCGCCGCCGCCAACGGTTGAGGCGACAGATGAGCTTGGCCGTGTCTACAATTACTACATTGTTCAGCATGCAACAGTATTTACGAATCGTACGCGATAAACACACCCTACTAACCCCCATCCTTCTACTACGTATGTATTACCCAAAAAATAAATATTCAAATCTAAAACGGCGAGAAGAAACGGAATAATCGCGTTAAATAAGGAACGTCGCTCGACCAGGTGCTTTTATAGCCCACCGCTCATGGAGTAACTGTTTTGAAATAAAGATTTCAATCTAGTTTAGTCTGTAACCAGTTGTCAACTAATATTAAACTTCTGTACGCACATGGATGCGACTATTATAAAATAGTTTCAATCAGTTGCCATAGTAATTTATTGAATGTCGAATGAATCACACTAGAAATTGGCAAGAATTTAAAGCAACTTGAAACTGCAAAGCTACTGCGACCGCGGTAAATGGTCGGGTACAACAGGTTTATGACTCATTACAAACTAGTTTCATTTGAATCGACTTGTGTACGCTTCCACAACTACCGTACATTACCGATGTTGCAAAATAGTTGCAAGATCAACTAGTTTACAATTTTTTGTTTCAAAACAGTTGCTCCGTGAGCGGTCGATCTAAGTCATCGCCGATCGTACAATCACAATCTTCTCGCCGCTTACAAAATTAAACATTTCACCGCTTATAATAAAACCGCCCCGTTACGAACCTGTAACTCGGATGGATGGCCTGCGGCGGGCCCCAGCCCTTGCCGGGCGCCAGCAGGTGCGGCTCCCTGGCCACGGTCAAGGCGTCGCGCGTCGTGTGCGCCGCCGGCGGTTGGACGTAGTCGTTGTGCGGCTGCGCCGGCACGGCGTACTCCTGCAAACTGACCACCGGCACAGCGGAATGCCGGCGCGAATGGCTCGACGCGTTGTGGGCGACCGGCGGCGCCCAGCTGACGCGCTTGTCGCCGGTCGCGTACGCCGCTTGGTCGTGCTGCGACGCCGAAACGTACTGGTACGTCTGGAAACGACGCTAATTAGTACAACGATAACGACGCTCATGATGCGAGTTACTTACTTGTACGGGCGGTTCTTTGCACGACGATCCGCAGTGTTGTATGTAATTGTAATCGGCCGGCTCCTGTTTGGTGGGAACGTTCAGCATACACTCCGATTGCGCTTTGGCCAACAGCCGTTTCTTCTGCGAAATCGACGCGTAATTAGTACCGCTCTGTCCGCAGTGATTCTGGCACGGCTCGTTTTTAATCACCGGATTGTAGTTGTGATTCTGTAAAAAAAACAAAACGTACAAATACTCCCATTTCGAGCGTTTATTATTTCCTATTACTTTGGCCGAATTGCGCTCGTCGTTGTCGCTGTCCTGCACGCTGACGCAGCTGATCACGTTCTTCCTCTGGGCCGCGTTGGGCGGCGGCGGCGGCGGCGCCAGCGGTTGCGTTTGGGTGTTGGTGTTGATCAATTTTTTGTTGCCCGGCGCCGCTTCGTCCTCGCTGTCCGATATCGTTATGACGGAGACGGCCGGAGAAGGCGTGTCGTTGATCGTTATCGTATGTTGCTTGGCGGGCACGACGGAAACCGAAGCCGAATTGCCGTTGTGGTGATGATGGTGATGGTGGTGGTGGATCGTTTGAGTCTGGTGGTCTTGAGATGAGACCTATTCAAAAAGAACAGAGCGTTGAAGCGATTGAAATGTGGAGCTACAGGAGATTCCTTCTCCATTCTCTTCACACTCGTGAAGAATGGAGAAACGAGAGCAACTTGGCTCAGGGCTGAGCAATTTGAGAAAGTGGTAAGGCAGTCTGTTTAGAGCTACAGTTAGTACCGAACTGCAACAATTTCCAAGCTTCGATAAGAATTAATAATTACACTTACAAGTTGATGTGAAGATGAATTATGCCATTGGTTATTCGGACTGTGATTTCTCCTGCTGCTGACGTATTGTTCGGAGGGCGGTGTGCCTTCCTTGACGCGCTTTTTCACCGGACTCAACTGCGTTTGTTCCTTCTTATCGTGCTGAGATCTATGGTGAGTCGGAACCTGCGAAAATTCCACCGTTAATTTCTCCGAAACACAAACAGCATTTCGGCGTCGTTTACCATCAAATGATGGTGGTTGTGGTGCGAGCCCGTCTGTTGGCCGTGGTGGTTCTTGGAGCTCCTCTTGCTGGTGCTCCACGAAGCGCCCGTGTGATCGACGATCGTCGGATTGTAGACTTCGGCGGCGACGTCGACGGGAAACACGGGCCGTTGTTCTTGCAGTATGGCCGAGGAATCGACCAAAAGCGGCCGGCCCCAATCCGTCTCCGATAACAGAGGTTGTTGTATTGTAGCGTGCTGGGGCGGTAGCTGTTGCCACGACGGTACGATGGCCATTTGCTGGCGGTTCGTCGGCCACGACGTTTGCACGGCGTTCTGAAAACACACGCGGGCGGTTGTGTTAAAATTTTAATCGATCGTTCGCAGGAGTACTCTTACGGTCAATAACATCTGTCGACCGCTGGGCTCGACCACGCTGACGGGAACGTACTGCTGTTGGCCGGGTTGGCTGAGTATCGGCGGTTGGATTTGCAATTGTTGCTGTTGCACGACGGTCACGTGCTTGGCGGGCGAACCGCCCATTCCTTGATAACCGGCCGGGCATAGAATGCTCGATACTAATTGGTGCTGGAACGGATCGGCTCTGCTGCTGGTCGCGTACTGTCTTCCCACCGTTCGACCGTTGTATATTTGATACTAAAAAAACAATTACGAGCGTTTTAGTGATACGCGCTTAATAGGGTGCGACAAAAAGACTTACCAAGTTGTCATAACCAGACCTATCTCTGACAAGTCTTTGTACTTGATTAGTCAATTGGTTGTTTATGGTGAACGTCACGTTGCCGTTGGAACTGGGCACGAAATTGGCGACCAACGACGGCGCCTGCTGAGCCGGTTGATGGTGAGTAGCAGATGATGCATTGTTGTAGTCGTTTCTTCGACAAACCTATTAAAAAAACATTCACATATTAACAACGAGATTGTTAAAAAACGAACGGTGTTTATACCTCCATCATTTGCACGCTGGCTTTAACGTTGTTACAATGCGCGTAGTCTACGAGATGAGCTAATCGTACGAATGCGTGATTTAAAGCCTCGCCCGGAGTCGTTCTTCTTTCCTACAAAATCAAACAAAGGTTACCATTGGTACCGCCAACGTAACGCCAATTCGATTGAATTAAATATTGCTACCTGATCCATCGTCAACATCCTCTTCAGCAAATCGATGAACTCCTTCCTGTCGACTTTCTCGGCCAACAATTGCCCGCCTTCGAGATCCGTCGGCACGTTCACCTGTCCAATATCGTCCAAACAATTGAATATGTACTTTCTGGCTTCCTTCGATTTGATCCCCGTCTCGGCCTCGTGTTCTTCGGGCGTCTTCAACCTCCAAAAGGGATACGTACTGTCCATGTCTCTGTAGAAGAATTTGGTCGTCTTCGACGCGTTGTTGAGCATATGCTCCGTGGGCAGTCCTTGCGTCTGGCTGATGTACCTAAATATAATCGATAAGACTACGTTTCGTACTACGAAAATCGCCGGATAAGTACCTGATTTGATCGTATTCGGACGAACCGGGATACAACGGCCAGCCCAAGAACAGCTCGGCGACGACGCAGCCCAACGACCACATGTCGATCGCCTCGCAGAACGGCAGGCCCAAGATGATCTCGGGCGCTCGATAGTACCTCGATTGCAAGTAGGTGTTGCAGACGGCCTTGCTCACGTGCGAGGCGCTGCCGAAGTCGATGACTTTGACGCGGTACGGCTGTCGCACCGGATCCACTAGCATGATGTTCTCCGGTTTCAAGTCGGCGTGGATCAGGCCCAATTGCTGCAAAACGAATCGGGATTTCGTGAGACGAATGCAGAGGATAGAATAAATGTATTGTGTTAAGTGTCGAGCAGTATCTATAAGGTAGAAAACATGGGGAAGGTTTTTAGATCCTAAAATTCGGAGGTAAAACTACCACAGGAACCTATGATCCACGTTTAACCAAATATGTGGAGGAATTATTGTAGATTTGTAGCAAAATGTCTTCTTTAAAAAAATTGTAGGTCATTATACTCGAGCCGTAAGTGCTAATAGCCAAGTAAACGGTAAGAAACACTTATTGTATTGTATTTAGGAAGCGATATAAGCAAACATAACACCGTTGGACTATTTTTAAAATTTATATTTTCGATATAAAAACGTATAAATAAACATTAAAGCAAAATAAATCCTGCAAAGTATTTCTTATTCTATTTTCGTGAGGTTTTAAAAACAAATGGATTTTTGGCAACGCTCCGCGTACACAACACCTTAAATTTTTTTAAAGTGGAAATACAAAAATCGAAATTTAACGCTATAGGACACGATTCGTTTAATTTTCTGGTTCAAAGACTAATAATAAATATCGAAAAAAAAATTGCATCAGCATTGGATCAAAATAATGTGAAAGAAATGTGGGGAAATCTGTAAAAAAAAAACAATACGTTACCTTAAGTTTGAGCAACGCCGTCAGAACCTGCTGCAGAATCGGCCGGATGTATTTCAGCGGTAGCGGGCTGAACTTGTTCTGTTTCAAAAAATCGTACAAATTCTGTTCGAGCATTTCGAACACAAGACACGTGTGGTTCTTGTGCTGGAAGCACTCGTAGGCGCGCACGAAATTGAATTCGTCCGCATTTTCCTGACTCAATCTCGATAGTATGCTAACTTCGATTTGACCCTGCAAAACCAAACGAGTGTAAGTCTTCAAGCACGGTTAGAAGGGGGGGTCGAAGGGGCCTCACCTGTCTCGCGTAAGAGGGATGATTCTTGAGAATCTTGATAGCGACGATCTCGTTGGTGCCTTTCTTCCAACATTTGACGACTTGACCGAAGGTGCCGCGGCCCAAGAACTCGAGCACCTCGTACTGGTTGGTCATGGAATACAGCACCTCGTGCTGCACCAGCTGGTAGTCGCCGTCGGCGCCGCTCGTCGCCGCCGACCCTGTCGAATCCAAATAATTCCGGTCAGTTTCGAACGCTTCCTCATAGCTCGAAATCGAACTCAGATTCATCAGAATATCGGGCGGGCGTGAGCTATCATCTATCGATGATTATCGGCATTTTCTTATATTTTTTTTAACCGCGATTTGACGTTTCGTTTGTATTTCAAACAGATGTTTACCGTTTAGTTTGCACGTCAGAATTACAGTTATTAGGGGTTGGGTTTTTTGGTTTTCTGATGAATCCAAGCAAACCAATTATGTCGATGGTTGGTTTGATATGGTGTTGTCGTTCATGTTTTAAAAATGTGTTTCGAATTATTACTGGTTTTACGTCAACAATGCGAAATTAGCTTAAACATAATGGAGCCGATTCTGATAAACATCTAAACATAATCTTGGAGCAAACTGCGACACTTTCGGTTGACCTTGAACGTTTGTCCCCGAATTACATCGAATATGGAATTTTTATGAATACGCTCGTTTTATTGGATTTTAAAAATTGCGAAACGTCGAGAAAAAATCGTCTGGATTAACTGATAAAGTACACGTTACACGATGACATTCTGTTAACATTTGATTCGATGAATTCTAAAATTAAAAGAAATAAAAATTTGTTTTGCACCGACTATAGTTCAAATCGAGAGAATGGTGCAAAACACCATAGAAAATCTCCGATATTTTCATCAAACAGGTAAAATACAATAATTAAAAATGACATCATATAATTTTTTGCATCGATTGTTACGTTGATAGAATTGTTTTTGTATATTAACGATATTTTTTATTTTGTTATGTCAGTTGTTTACTGGATCTGCGATATAACCGCTTCGTAAATATGTGTTACTATCATAAAAAACGAGTAATTACTTTATTTTAACAAAAATAAGTCTAGTTAATTTTAAAAGAGCGATTAAAGCTATCGAAAGGAAACGATTATACAGACACATTCAGTTCTAAAACGACTGAATTAAGATTACTACTAAGCAATTAAGCTTAAAGTAGGTATTTTTTTCAGAAAATTACAAGATATTTAATCAAAACAATGAAGGAAACTAAAAAATCCAATAAGTTTAGGTAACGACTTGACTGTATAATTAAAATTACAACACAGCTACCAAAAAAAAGGCAAGTTTACTCGTCTGTAAACGTTTCGACGTAATAAATCGACTATCCTGTTAATTATGAAATAACTTTATAGGCGCCCGGCACGTGAAAAGACCATTTTATGTACCGTACGAAAAAGAAATATACGATGAATCACTCTTAAACAAAATTCGGCGAAAAACGCGAAAAATTTTCATTTACCAAATGGAAGTTACGCAACATCTCTTCTGCGGTTACTTCATTCGGCTATCCGCTGGAGAATACTTTCATTTGAGATTATTGAAGCCGGAAAATAGACTAGAATAATTACGTAACAAGCAGGAAATCGAGATCGATATTATTTATCAAAGGGACAAATTTTATTTGTCACTAGCACTATAATACAAGAGTTCCAGCAGAGACGCTACAAAAACCAAAAACAATTACAATTTGAACCACGCGAATCGTTCAAGAATAATAACCTCCAAGTACTGTAAATAACAAGATAGTTTACTCGTGACTGTGGCATAATAACAAAATATTCATCATTTTTCGCGTGAATAAAATTATAGTTATGTTTTTTCCACAGAAACATTCGATGCAAATCCCGCTTGTACTTTTCGACTCGAACATAAAACCATTTACTACTGGTAAATCGAATCACAAACTCGACAGCAGCAGAATCGATCTTTAATTAAGCCATATTGATAGATAAGAGTCCCATTTTATCGGCACAAACAATGCTCTCTCGACAACATATAATTGCGTCAGACAGTAGAAATTTTCAGTCTAATTGTTAAAGGCTCCAACGAAAATAATTTTTAAATATTTTGGCGCCAAAACGCACATCTGTGCCGGCCGTACATTCGACGGGACGCAACTGCCAAGCGCTAAAATTGAATTGCAAAAATGTTTTCTTTAAAAATAGAGTCCCCGTGAAATGGATACGAGCGAATTGGGCGCCGGTTAGGCGCGAATAAGGTAAATCATTTCGAACCAACGACATAATTGCAGAGTGATAGCCATCCCTTATCAAATAACTAAGTGAATTCCAATCAATTATCAGTAATGCGTTCACAACTAGAAGAGATCGCTGTTAACGAATGTCGTAAAAGGCCAGTGTATGAATCAATTCTAGAGAATTTGTATGATAAATTCATCGGGTTTCTCAGCAAGTGTACATATCATTTTGGGTTGTTATAAACCTACATGGTTAAAGAGACTAATATGGTTGTACTATGTGCGTACACAATGGATAACCTGTAGGTTATAATAACATAAAACGATAAATTATTGATGTGAATTTCCTGTCATTTTAAGCCTTCTAGTTGTGAATATATTAACAAATGTCTTGAGGTAAATAAATTAGTAATTATATTTTTAAATAAATGATATGCATACAATCAAGCCTGAATTATCGCTCATAATTTCATTGGCTATTTAATTGCATTATTAAAGTACAAAAAAACATTGTTTAATGTTAATCTATTATTCAATAGAAAACAAATTATTCGGTAAATTAAAAAAATGATTCTTATCCAAAATCCAAAAATATCAATAGAACTGGAACTTGTTCCAAATTTTCCCATTTTTATTACTTCTTATCCTACTTTATTTACCATTAAAAAGACAAACATAAAACTAAACGAAATTAAATGGTACCACAATAGAATTTGAAGAGAGGTGATAAAACTCTTTTAAAAATATGTAAAACGAAACAAAATCACACCGGCCTCTTCACCGCAGTTCCATTTTACAAAAAAAAACCTACTACCAATTAAACCGACAAACAATAGATTATTATATCAATATCGTCCGCTATTTATAAACCCGCTAAATTAGTAATGTAACATTAACGAGCTCTAATTGTTATGCTAAACGCTCCGAACTCGAACAAACTGCGATGAAAAAGCCGGCGAAAATAAAGTAAAAAATTTGGCATTACTTTTTTGCTTACCTTGCGGCTGGGGGTTGGTGCCCCCCGGAGCCGCTGTAACCTTGCTGTGGGCCGTCGTGGTTGTCGATATTGGACAATCTGTATTTGGTATGACCGACTCCCCGCAGCTATTACCATTACCCTCAGGCGACCAGGTTTTCCGCTGAAAATCACAAACCATTTACCAAACATTTACAATAGACTATTCGAAAACCAAACAGGTTCGATTGCGTTCATTAAGTTTCAAAGGCTACTATTTTGTTTACTATTTACGCGGTATTTTCGTTTTTATAATTACTTATATAATTAAATTATTTCTTTAATATCTGGATTGTATGTACAAAAAATATTGATGATAAGATAAAAGTTTGTAAACACTTATACACATGGCTTCGATTCAGACCGCAATATGGTCATCTCCATGGATCGAACAAAGAAAGATTACTAAAATGACAGTTGTCATTTTTCTCACAATATCACTCTTTCTTTTTCCTTTACATGTGTCTAATGAAAGTTGTCTTTATCGCACCCATACAACCTATATTGCAATCAAGAATGGAGCAAGATGTATACAGGTTGCTCCATTTTTGATCGCAACATAGGTTATAAAGCCCATGGGAAAAGGAAAGAATGACATTTGTGTCATTGCAACTTTTCACTCTGACAACTGTTATTTTATTAATCCTTCTTTGTTCCACTCATAGAAATGACCATGTTGCAATCGGAAATAGAGCAAACGATATGTCTTTTGTTGGACTAAATCTTTCGATTGCAAGTTATAACAAATTATGAAACGAAAGAAAGGTGTTGCTGTGTAGCAACTGGTAAGAAAACAATGTGTAAAATGCGACATACTTTCTGGCCGCAGCGCTGGTAAGTGTCTAGCAATTTGATGGTGGAAGCGCGAACGAACGGTTGCTGATTCGTACCGCGTCCGGGACTATTGCTGGCATGGTTGCCGTTCTGGCCGTGCTGGTGATTGCCGGTCTGCGTCGATATCGAAGCCGAGCCGAAGTTTTGCGCGCCGCCGTTTATACAGAACACCTGTTCGATGAAAGAGAGTTCCGCACCGCCGCCGTTGCCGATGTAATGTTCCGCCTTGCGCTTTTTTGGTTGCACTGCCCCGTTGGTGCTGTTGCTGTTGTTGCTGTTGCTGCTATTCGTGACCGACTGTTGGGATTGGATGAACATGTCATGCATTCCCTGTAAACAACAACGGGCACACGTTGCTACTTCTGGAATATCAAACGGTCGCTTAATACTAATCGAATCAAAGACCAAGAAGAGTATTGCTCGCGCTAAATTGGAACTGGCTGAGTCATATTGGTACAAATGAGGTACTCTAAAGTAACTAGGGTTTAATCGTTTTTTTTGATGGAGTAATTGTTCGATTCAAGAGGAATCGTTTTTAAACGAAAAAAATATAGGTTAATTTGGATAATAAGAGTTTTTGACAGTACCCGAAACAATCGAGTGCACATAACAGAATATCAAGTGGGTGTGGATTGGAACGTGAAAATGATATTTTTAACGTAAAAGTAGAACATATTGCAGAAATTGTTTCGACAAACGGTTTGTTTTCATTATCGCGTTATCTACCTACGCAATACATGACCTGACTTCTGACCTCGTAACAACCGTTTTGCTTATTAAAACAATGATAATTACAAAAACAATATCGAGGAGAGACGTGCAACGAAAAGTGTGTTACCTTATAACCGATGCATTATAAAAAGAACGAGAAGAAAAAAAAAGAAAACGTATTAAACTGGGTAACAGACGAGGCCACGACTGAAATCAGGGCCGACTCCGATCGGTTTGGGAGTCAACAGACAAAACGTCGGCATTGCACCATATTGTTCGGTATTTCGCAAAACCAACCACCCCAACAGCGAAAGGGAAAGTATAATAGAGAAACGTATTTACCACACTATCCTCCGATCCTGGGCAAAGGGCTCAACTTTCATAATGACATGCGGACAAAGAGTATAATCTTCAAAGTCCAGCCATCTTGAACAAAAACTCGCACAGTTCGTGTTTGTTTACAAATAAATCTCAAGTCCTCGTCGACGATACGAACATTATTTACACATACACACGTTACCACACATATCCGCACACAATTTTCGGTTGCACTTTTCCACTAAATAGCCGATTTACTCCATTTTTCGTCGTTATTTCTTCATGATGATCCACACACACGTCCGCATTCGAGGTATTCGTACAACGTATTCCGATTTGGTTCGGCGGTCGGCCGCGCGGCGTCGCCACCGGCGCTCGTTAAAAATCTGGGACGAAAATCGAATCGGTCACGAATTTTACCTTTTATTTCCGCGAAATAACCGATTTGAAACGTCGACGAAGCCGCGTTGCTGGTCCCGATGCACTAATTAAACCGCCCGATGTCGAATTTTTCACGCGCCCCTATTGAAAATCGATAATTTCCAATGTGTAGGCGTTCGACTTGTGTCGCGAGCAACAAGTGCGCCGCAAATAAATTTATTTTCCTCGCTCCTCCGACGATGTCTGATTTCTGTTATAAAACGCATCGTTTTGCGATTACAAAGCGATCCTCGCTTTTACATAATCGAGTTATTGGTTTTCCGCGGATATCTAATCTAATTCTATCTAATTATACATCGTAATGTATTGAATTTCACGTGCAGGAATCGCTGTGGAAAACCGTGTCTTTTTAAAGCGTATGGTAAAAATAAAAGTATATTGTGGATTTAAATAGAGAGAAATTGGGACAGAAAAAATTTTACTGTATAGGCAACACGATTTACTAAGTTTTGACATTGTCATTATAAACAACCTACTAGCATAGGCAACACACAATACACTACAGAAACTACAGGGGTTGGTTAATATTTAGCTAATACGAGGTCGCTTCGCTGGTCGAAACGTTTACTTCATACACACAATGATGAATTTAATACTAAAACACCATTGTAATACAACTTTTTGCATAATTACAATTGTTGTGGCTTAATAAAGGGAAGGTTTGTTTTTTAATAACACGAAAATGACATGGTACGTACGCCAAGGAACCCCTAAGGAGTAAGCGGAGGTGGTTATTGTGCGCATTTTATTTTTTTCAAGGACTGATTGGTGGCCCAAACCACTAATTACAGTGGGATGCAAAGGGGTGGCTTTGTGTTTTGATGCACGTGTGCACTGTCAATGAAAGAAGTAATCGCTTCTTTTTTCGGTCAAAAAGGAATAAGGCAATTAAACGGGCCAATTAGTTAGAAAAAATTTATTGGGCATTTTTTTTAATCGGGCCATATGTCTCCATACAGCTTATACCCTTGGAGGAGCGTGCTATTTTTAAAAATAAGGGTCGTCGATCTTGATATACTGTAATATTCCATCGCTGGTAAATCTCTACCACAAGAATTTTCCAAATACCAGACCCCTTTTTGTACAGCTTAATTTACAATTTTATTATTCGTTTTAGAAGTAAAGTACTTATCAAGTGCACTATAATCGTATAGATACGGCGACAAACGCGTTTTTTGTGTTTGTTTATGCAGACATTTTAACTTAATTAAACGACGAATTAACCACACAAATTATATACAGAGTGGTACCAAAAGTTTCTCTAACTATTGAATATATTCTCCGAAACTACGAAATTGTTTATATCAATCGTTTTATAGGTTTAAGTAGGTACATAAAATTCAGCGAATAACATCGATATGCTAATAGTAAATGAAAATTTGAGTAGGTATCTCCGTTTTAATGCTCTTTAATAACAGCAAATCGTAAAATCGATGTTTACAAATCCGATATAATTTCGAATAAACGAAACAAACGACTCATTGTTACCTCATTTAATCCTTTAAGATTATTCGGATCGAATTAGTTACTTTCATATTCCTTTCATTATTCCTCTTGCACTGTAGGTACATAAAATCTAGCAGCAGGTATTCACTGAATTTTCGAATTACTAACGCATTATTCTAATTGGGACTGTCCTAATCACCAGTGTAATTAGCGAACAAAAATTAGCGGCTGGTAATAGGGAAGGGTTTTCTGTCGCCGAATGCCCTTAAGTCGGCGCTGATCCATTAAGAACGCCGAAAAGACGGAAAGTCAATCAGTAATATTCAGTAACCAAATGCCGATGAAGATTCCCTAAGGCATGTTCGGGGTTCACAATCGGATTTCGAATTCTCGACGTTAACTTTTAGCTCTAGCTGGCACATGCACTTCGCGTCAGGACGGTTTTAGTTTTAGAAAAATATCGCCAGAAAGGCGAACAGTGCGCCTCACAATTATTGCAGTTTTGGATGCTAGTCAGAAGTGGATTGAATTTTGAATTATGAAGGTGGTGTTTTTGGTTTTTGTTGCTGTTTTTTGCTACGATTGTGCAGGTAAGTTTGGTGAAAATTAATAATTTTTTAATGTTAATAATTGATTATGGTTTGAAAATGGGTGCAAGTTTATTGGATAGGGAAATTATTATTTTTATAAGCGTAATGGGGTAATAAAATTTTAATAACTAGGAGAATGGTCTATGCCTACTTGGTGTTTTATAATTAGAAATTTACAATTGTTCATTCAAATGGTGATTTTAAACAAATTTTCCAAAAATCATCTCAAATTTTTATCGAAATCTGTGGGCTTGGGATTATCTAGTGGGTATTTTCTAGCGATAAGATAAAGAAAATAAAGGAAATAGTTGAGATTATTTCATTATCTTGTTTATCTGCGAATTTGTAAAAGAAATGTTCATCCGTCCGGTGCAAGATGACCAACACATGCACCAACATCTGTTTCAAATAGACATATTTCGGTGTTGTTATTTTGTAACTCGTTTCTCGAAACTCGACGCTGCATAAAAGGGCTGTTATTCGGTAAAATATGGTCGATACAAAATGTTCTGGCACCGAAATAAATACCTTTTTAAAGTACCCCAATTAGCGACTCAATTCCACACAGCCATTACTTACATTTTTCGAATTGCTACGATATTAATTAAAATTCGCTTAACTTAAAGACAATTTTATTGCTCGGCGATTTTCACTTTAAACGACATTTTCTCCAAATTCCTCTTTTAATAACAGCAATTAAGTAATAACCCTTATCTTCGAATATCTTTCAGCGGATTCTTCCAAAGAAACCGAAGAAAACTCGCTGATCACCAGCGTACTGGCCAGTAATCTGGATGGAAGTCCACAATTGCCCTCTTTGCACGTTTTGCGGGAAGACCGCGGAGAATTGGTGGAAACAGAAGCGGAAGACATAATTCCCGCAGAAGCTTTGAATAATCGAGGTCGAACGATCGGAAATGGCTTAAGCTCGCATTCCATCGCTCTGAATAGGGCTACTGACAACGATAGTTCGATGGTAAAGACGGATGTGACAGTTAATAGCAGAACATCCGGAGAAGATAAAGTCAATGGGAATGAGAGTGTAAATGGGTTAATTGTTGAAGGTATTTACTCCTCTTTTTTTTATTTTTTAGTGCTTTAGTGTTCAAAGTTAAACTGGTGGTTTGTTCTGTTATTACTTCATTATTTGTATTACTTTTTCAGATGAAAATATCGCCGATGTAACCGAGAAAACTACAACTATAAGAAGCACCACACGTAGTCGGTACACGTACAGACACAAATACACATCTAGGAAGCAACATAACAATTTGAAGAGGAGGATTATTGAAGCTACAACGAAGCCAACTGTATCATCGACAAGGACTTATCATAGGCACGTTTTCACCAGAAATCCATTGAGTTTGAGGAACAAGTTCGTCATTACCACTACAGCGGCACCGAAGAGTGTAATCGGTGAAGAAAGTGATAAAAAAGATGGATCTTCGACTGAAACTTCCACGAGTGTTTATGGGAGGTTTGGAAGAAATCGATTCCGAATGAAACCGCCGAGTGCGATGATTCGGAATTCTGATGCGATCAATACACATTCAAATATTGATTCTAATGGCTCGAATAATGATTCAAATTCTCACGAACCGAAATCTACTACAAGCATTTACAATAAATATAGAAAAAATCGACCAAGAATGCCGCAAATTTCCATGATTAAAACGGACGAAATTATTACTAAAGCACCAGAAGAAGAAAAAGTTATTGAAGACGAAGAAAGTAGTAGTGATTTTGATGCAGAAGAACCTTCCTCGACCACCATTTATGAAAAATTTAGAAGGAATCGACCTCGAATGAACTGGAGACCACAAACAAAGAAGAATACTAAAATAGACCACATTAGCAATGAAGAAGTAGAAACATCTACTAATATAGAAAGCATTGATGAAAATGAAAACCCCACAGAATTACCAGTTACTACTAGTATCTACGAAAAATACAGAAGAAGCAGACCTAGAATGCAACCAATTTCCAAAATAAACATTGGAGCAATTAAAACTGAAGTACAAACAGAGAGTAAAACTGTTGTTGTAAGCAATCAAGACGAAGAAACTAGTAGTGATTATAATGGAGAAGAACCTTCATCGACCACAATATATGAAAAATTCAGAAGAAATCGCCATCGAATGAACTGGAAACCGCCAATAAAGAAAAATGCTAGACTAGATCACACTAACAATGAAGAATTAGAAACATCTGCTAGCATAGAAAACATCAATGAAAATGAAAATCCCACAGAATTACCTGTTACTACTAGTATCTACGAAAAATACAGAAGAAGCAGACATAGAATGCAGCCTATTTCACGATTAAATGTTGGAACAATTAACGATGAATTACAAACAGAGAGAAAAAATGAGTCAAGCAATCATAGCGAAGAAATTACTAGTGACTTTGAAGAAGAAGAATCACCCTCGACCACAATATATGAAAAATTCAGAAGAAATCGACCCCGTATGCATTGGAGACCTGATGTTAAGAAAAATCCTAAATTAGACACAACTAGACATATAAAGGAAGAGAAAATTGTAAATTTAGAAGACATTGATGAAAATGAAAGCCAAACTGAGTTACCTGTTACTACCAGCATCTACGAAAAGTACAGAAGAAACAGACCTCGAATGCTTCCTATTCCAAAGGTAAATACAAAAGAAGTTCACACTGAAGAACAGGCAGAAACCAAAATTGAAAACAATTCCAATACGTTTGTTGAAGATGAAACACCTACCTCTACAACTGTTTATGAGAAATTTAGAAGAAATCGACCTCGAATGCAATGGAGACCTCAAGTAAAGAAAAACGATAAAATAGACTTAACTAGTGATGAAAAAGAGGAGAAATTTAACTTAGAAAATATTGATGAAGATGAAAGCGCAACTGAATTGCCAGTGTCTACTAGCATCTACGAAAAATTCAGAAGAAGCAGACCTCGAATGCTACCAACTTCAAGGTTAAATATTAAAGCAACTGTCCCCGAGACACAAGTAGAAAGAAAAACTGAACATCAATTGATGCAAATGCATTCAAACGTTAATAACCAAGATGATAATTCGCATATCAATATTGAAGATGAAACACCTTCATCCACAACGATATATGAAAAATTTAGAAGAAATCGACCTCGAATGCAAAGGAGACCTCATATAAATAAACACCACGAGAATACCCAATTGCACCCTATTGTAGACGAAATGGAAAACAACGAAAGACAACATAATCCTATTAACGATGGAGCAGTCAATGAAAATGAAGAAACACCTGTTGCTACCAGTATTTATGAAAAATATAGAAGAAACCGATTTAGAAAGCTACCGATTCTTCCATTAACGATCAGTAGTCGGATTTTCGATGAAGAAATAGATGAAGATGACGGAACAAATAATCCAATTAAAGAATTAAAAGGAAAAGCCGATTCTCATACATTCGGTGTTGATGGGAATCAGGATTTACCCGATATTAAAGGCGAGAGCAAAAATGTTTTGAAGAGAAAAAGTCGCGAAAACAGTTCTTTCAGGACAACTGTACAGGAACTTGAGGGTAAGTAATTTAATAATTTTCTTAAGTGTACATTTATTTATTCTCGACTTCACTTTGCTTGTCAAATAAGTTAATCTCTAACAACACTTGCCGATCCTCAAACGTGGAAACCAAAAATACAAATACTATTTACGCCAGTCATATGTTCTCTTGTTTTAAGTAGAAAATAGACTGTTAATGTTTGCTTAGAAATAAAATACTCATCGTGAAACTCAATCATACTCAAAAGAGAAAGAAAACAATAAATTCCTCCTTAGTTAAAATAACACCATTTAAATAGATTTACAAGGGTGGTTCACTTACTACAAGTGTAAGTTTATGTTCTATGAATTTAAAAATATATCTATTTATCTATTACTTAATTCTTTAGAGAAACTATTTGGTTTTTAATTGCTTCAGAACCATCGGAAGATTTATTTTCCATTGTCGAAGACCACGATGATTCGCTATTCGAAACCCACGAACCCGGCGAAGAAGCATCCTTCTTCGATGTCGAAACTACCATCATTCCTTTGCAAGGTTCCAGCGAAGAAATAACCGTATCATTACCAACAAGTTTCAACATTGAAGATAAAACTGAATCAAGCATTTTTACCAATCCAGATGCTGGAGATACAGCTCATTTTAATGTAGAAACCTCTACAATTCCATCGCAAGATCCTATAAAAGAAATAACTGTATCATTACCAGCTAGTTTCAACATTGAAGATAAAGCTGAACCAAACATACTTACCAATCTACATGCTGGAGCAACATCTACCCCTAGCGTAAAAACCTCTACAATTCCATCGCAAGATCCCATCGAAAAATTAATTGTATCTTCACCAACAAATTTGAACAATCCAGATGCTGGAAAAACTTCGGAAACCTCTACCATTCCATCGCAGGAACCCACCAAAGAAATAACCGTATCAATACCAACAAGTTTCAATATCGAAGACAACTCTGAGCAAAACATTTTTACCAATACTGAAGAAACTACTACTTTTGATATGGAAACCACTATCACTCCATCACAAGAAACCAGCGAAACGGTAACCACATCTTTACCAACAAGTTTCACCATCGATGCTAAAACTGAGGCAAAAGGGCTTACTAATCCAGCTGAACTAGATTTGGAATCAACCACCCCCGAATTGGTTACAGTTGATCCGAAACATTGGTACGGAGTTAGTGACCCGAAAGAAAGCGAAATAGATGAAAATGATAAAGTACAAGCCAAGGAAACAACGAGTAATGTTTCGAAAGAAGATAAAACAACTACAGAAGCACAAATTACTGAATTAAATGAAATTATTACTGAAGAAGCTACCGATAAAACAACTACTGTATCCATAGAGAGTTTGGAACAAAACGATGTTCCAAAAATTGACCAAACCGAAACTACTAATGTTGGTGATGTGGATGATAAGAAAAATGATGCATCAACACCTGATCAAACTAAAATAATAAACAATGCCAGCACTGAAAAGATTGAAATTACAACAATTACAAATGACTTACCTTCATCATCAATTACAACAGAGTTAGTTAGTACAAATACTATTAAAATTTCAACTTTATTGCCGATTGCAACACAGAAGACAAGTACTACGGAAAGTACTATAATTTCAACAGAAATAGATAATATTAATACTATTGTCATCAACGAACATCCAGATGAAACTCTTGATGATACTGACGACGATGTAATAGATCCTTTAGCAGATAATATAACCGATACAAAAGAACACGAGGATTTAACATCACTTATGCTTGACGACAATTACAATGATGAAGAGTATGATGAAACTCATCACATCTACAAAATTCCTCCAGTTCATAAACCTCAAACAACTACCAAGAAACCTGTTATATCAGGAAGCATTTTGGGCAAGAAAACTAATCTCACCATCGAATTAACCATAAAAGTAAGATCAATAAGTACACTCTAATTACTGCTATATCTTTCAATACGTTCCAGAATAGAACCATCGATGTTCCCTCGAACGTGACCGTGCAGGAAGATCCCTTAAATCCCGGATTGACCTTCACGTGGTCTCCCAATCGAGACACGAATTATACGATGTCACTGAACCTGTCGAAAGGAGCCTCGAATTATTACGAAATAAATAGCGTAGAAATATACGCCGTGAAGGGTGAGTAAATTGTTTTGTCTAAAATTAAATTTTCCACTAAATCTTGCTGTATTTTTAGACGGTAACGTATCCGTTTGGAAGAAAAACGACTCGATTCGAGCCGACGAAGAAAACGAAGAACAAGCGCTAATTGTGGATGTAGCAGACGACGTGAAAATATTGTTCTCTGATAGGAAATTTCTCAAAATGAGCGTCGAAAGTAGAAATGAAGGTAAAGGTAATTGAATACTATATTCACACTAGAAATAATTTAAAAACAACGCCGCGTGCGATCACATGATATCGCCAGTAATTTATGATGAAGCATAAAATTATCGGTATTTCCGGTACGTCTCCTAATTAACGAAAATTTACCTTCATCTATTGACACTCCCGCCTACTCATGCGCCATCAATTAGAAATTTCATCAACACGCAATCGTCTCTAATTCCACCCTCACCCTCCCAAACTGGCTGGTTCCGAGCAAAATACACACAGACATGTGACTGTACCAATTAAAATTCATCCAACAAACGACCAATTTGATAATGATTACACTATATTGAAACTAATGGAAAAGATACCTTAAATATAATTATTTTGTGGGAAAATAGATCATGTATTATTGGATGATATAGGATGTTGGATGCAATTTTTTACTGTTCAAAATTCCTTTAAACATTCTTTAATTTTGATGTTTTTAGAAGAATTGTAGAATAGTAGACAGTAGCGATAGTAGATAGTAGAATAGTACACGGTAATGAATCAAGTTAAAATTAGAGACTCTTTGATTTAAAGAATTGTGTGAGAAGTTTAATTTTTTATGATTTTTTAGATGTGGAATCGGAAGCATCAGAGGCAACGGAACAGCTAAAAACTTACTACTTGGAGATATGCTTGGGAGTTTTAGCATTGGTCTTCTTCCTGGCCCTCTTGTTGTACATAATAATAAGAAAATTAAAAATTAGATACATCAGGGAACAGAACAAACTTCCTACGGAATCAAACTTTTAGATAACTTTGTAAGATAACAAATATACGAATGCGATAAACGAATCGGTTAGTTTTCGTTTCCTGCGGAGCTTTTGGGAGCGATCGAATCGAAACGTAATTAGGCGACTGTAATTAGTTTCATTAATACTCCAGTAAGCATGTAGAATGGATCGGATATGTGGGAAAATGATCGCTCACCGACGTTCCCAGTTACTTCCTCGTTTCTGTTCGAAGGGCGCACACACGGTGCATAAATGCATGTGACCTGCAGGGCGCAGTGGGAAATTTTTCAGATTTAATTGAGCACCCTCTAATGACAATAATTTATGATGGCGTTTATTTCCAGTCGACGAGGGCGTGGAAGGCGGGAGATTTTTGTTGCAATATCGGTGCTATCTATGAGTTATCCAGTTTAACTAAAAGAAAATTCAAAGTGTTGATACGTTAGAAAATTTAGTGCCGATAATTGCCACTTTAGTTTTAAAGAATTCTTTAAGTTAAAGGAGGTAAATAAACTCGTTTGGTAAATTTTCTATTAGGCTATCGATTCACCCTAAATTATCGACCATCCTGTTGACCGTTAAACGATAAGTTATAGTTAATAGCTTTTAGAATTTCATAGGCATTTACCGGACGCATTAACAAAATTTCAAATCTACTGAATTGTAACGTTTACATTGAAACTGGGGCGCGACCGCCGACACCCCACTTTGTAATTATCCCACGCTGTGGGACGAAAATTCCCAATTCAACGAGTTTTATTGTTTCTAAAAACATTTCATTTCGTTTATGAAAGTGCACGTGTTGGGCTTGTTAAAATTTACATACTTTTAAAATCACATTTTTACGTTAAATTTACGTTAAATTAATCGTTAAAATAACCAGAAATGTTATTTTTCCTATGCGTTTAATGCGTTAGCAAAATCTTGTAATAACGAGGCCAGAATTCGTATGTTACGGGTAATAAAATTAAAAAAAGTCGGTAAATAATCACAGGATGAAACAATGAGAGTGCAGTGTACACTATGGGGAGAACGTTATGGTGTGTGATTTGTAACCGTCTTGCTTATCAAACCGTAACGGCGCTCGGCGTGTACTTTACTGGTAATTTACCAACTTTTACAATATCTGCACCCTTAATTACAATTATCAATTTCGGTTAGAGAACTGCATACACGCAGCGCGTAGATTGCACCTTTAGCGTATCGATTATAGTCGAATATCGAACAATTTTTAATATCAACCTTGAGGAATCCTAATTTATTTTTACAGTCGAAAGCATGACAATCTCATTGTTGGTTTAACGCCCACGTGGCTCTTTAAAAAATAATGACCGTTTTTTTATATCGTCTCACAAACGTTATTATTTCAGAAGGACAAACTTAGCAAACCGTAAAACCTTTCTCGGGCAGGTGCTGCAATTATTCAGACATGCACAGCCGAGATTTTCCATCGTTAGCGTTAGCGACCATAAAAAAAACTCGATTACTTCCAGCAAATACACAACCCATTCTCTAAGGACTTTTAATAATATCTTTACATCCAGTTTATAACCATTGTTATGTTTCTGGTATGTGATATTAGTAGATATCCTACTGACTGCGCCATCAATTACAAATTTTGATCGTGTGTTATTGAACAACCCCCAAGTGTTAAATTATTGGATACAATAGATACAAATGACACCTTTCAACTCGTTCGGAATCCTCGCCAGCTGAAATGAAATAAACGAAATAACGAATTAAATAGATGAAACGAAACACCGGGCTAATTTAATCATCGACACCGAATCGAGGTCTCGTGCTTTATTGTGCACGTTATTAATTTCGTTAGTATCATCTGCCTAATGAGCTTTTTTCAATAGGGATTTGTTACGTTTCACCCACGTCCCCGGCACTTTTTTTTTACATTGTCGCGTACGGTAATGCTAATAATCGATTACAAATCAATAAAAAACCGCAGGAAAATCGTCGATATCCGACCCTCCTACGCGGGCGCGCCTTCACTTTTCGCGCCGCCATTGGGCCGCACAACAGGTGGGAAGGTAAGGTGGGATCCTCCTTTTCGAATAAACCTTTCGGATTTCTTGTAGGCACCCGCATCCTCCGGTCCCATTCAGTCCACCACCGGCTGGTTAGCGAGGCACGTCGACCATGGGTTACCTACGGCACCAGGAGTCGCTGTCGGCGACGGGCGGCGGCGCCAAGTGCGCCCCGGAGCGGCGCCCTCGCCGCCTCGCCAAGCGTCTGCAATTCGACGACGACGCCGACGTCGGCGTCGCGGCCTTCGACGCGCAGGAGGAGCTGCGCAACGAGCTCGAGAGGTTCATAGGGAGATACGAGATTTACGATGCGGAGGATAGAGAGGAATGTAAGTAGGATTTTTGGTTATTTTCTCCCTACTTTTATTAACAATAAGAAGACTCGGAATCGCAGGATAACTCACTGTGGGTCTCCTGGGGTAATTTGGTATAAAGGTAGAGAGGATGTAAGTAAAATTTTTGGTTATTTTCTCCCTACTTTTATTAACAATAAGAAGATCCGGAATCGCAGGATAACTTACTATGGGTCTCCTGGATTAATTAGGTATAAAGGTAGAGAGGATGTAAGTAAGATTTTTAGTTATTTTCTCCCTACTTTTATTAACAATAAGAAGACCCGGAATCGCTCGATAACTTCATTGTGGGTCTCCTGGATTAATTAGGTATAAAGGTAGAGAGGATGTAAGTAAGATTTTTGGTTATTTACTCCCTACTTTTATTAACAATAAGAAGACCAAGGATCACAGAATAACTCACTGTGGGTCTCCTGGGGTAATTTGGTATAAAGGCAGAGAGAATGTAAGTAATTTTTTTTGTTACTTTCTCCCTACTTTTATTAACAATAAGAACCCGGAATCGCAGGATAACTCACTGTGGGCCGCCTAGGATGAAAGTAAGATTTTTGGTTAGTTTCTCCCTACATTTATTAACAATGATAATATCAAGGATTCCAGGATAACTTAATGGGTCTCTTGGGGTAATTTGATCGAGTTAACCGATAAGATTAAACAAAACTGATTAATGGGTTATACGATCCATGGTAGTTGCGATAAATTTTATCGTCGTTTATGGGATTTTTCGAAAATTTTATTGGCAAATCACGCTCGCTATCTTAATGGGTTCGTTTTCTGATTCTTCGAATAATTAAAGCGTGCAAGTCGTTAGCAATCGCCCGTTTTTATCGTAATGATTCCGTACTGTTTAGAAACGCGACGTTTATTACCGGGCATTAAAACGTTTATGAGCTAGGTAGTAAAAAAATTGTTTTTTTTTTTTGTGCAATAAAAATTATTTCGAAATTCGTTATAAGTAATCGAGCTTATGATGGATATCGCAAATGTATGTTGAAAATTGATGGTTGAAACTAGTTAGAACAGGTATTCAGTATTTTCTAGTCTAGTCTGAACACGTTTATTTTACGCGACTGCATGGGCCTAAATGTATTACTCACCTCAGGTGATTCATACGAAAGGTAGGAGTCGGTTTCTCGGAAAAAAGCGGCCTTCTTTCTTCGCTGCATTCAGGTGCATTTTATCAACTCTCCCTCTGCTATAATACATTCCAAATTAGAAAAACGTTCGTTAAGAACGCAACAATTACCACACCGTAAACAACGGAATCGCTCCCCTAAATCTCGCTTATACCGTGTTGGAAAAATTTTCGCGCATAATAGGGAAATCAATGTTAAATTCTTAGCCGGCTGAAATCCAATCTACCAGTGTACATTTCAATAGAACGTCGCGATCAATTCTAATAAATTTAATTGTTCTACTGGATCGCACGCCGCGATTTTGTAGAGGTACAAAGTTATTTGTGTTAGGTATGAGGTACAAAATTATTAGAAACTACAATTAATAGGTTTTTTGGGAATATTTCAAAAAAAATGTGTGTATCGGTAGGTACAGTTTTGAAATAGCAACAAATCTTGTTAAAATAAGGAAAAATAAGAAAAAATAATTCAATTTTCTTAAAATTACACCTCAGCTCAGTAATATGAGATGACATCTGTATGACAGGTTTGGCTATTGTTTAGCAGAAAGCGGTGGACTATTTTTTAGAGTTCTTTATTTTCTATTTTAAAATAATCTTTAAGTTTATTTTTGGAGTATTCTTTTTATTATTTCTTAGAATTTACTTTCTTTTTCAAGCCATTGTGGCAAAAAGACATATCTACATAATTCTATTTTATTATTAGTGATATTTTTTCAATAAATTATCGTTTAAAAATTCTCATTTCTTTTTAATCGACTCGACGTTCACCCATCCAAACCCGTTTTGATACTGTCGAAGTGTTGAAACCGTCGAAATTATTTGATTTTTAATCTAACCAAGCCAAAGCGCGATGTGAAGTCCAGTAGAACAATTAAATTTATTAGAATTGATCGCGACGTTCTATTGAAATGTACACTGGTAGATTGGATTTCAGCCGGCTAAGAATTTAACATTGATTTCCCTATTATGCGCGAAAATTTTTCCAACACGGTATGCAGAATTCCTCGGTGCAATTTAATCGTTTCCATCGAGATTTCTGGCGAAGATACAGGCCGGGTTTCGACCGCGTAGGTCATGGTCTGACGCACTCCGTGGGACCCTCGAAACGTTTCGAAAAATCCGCTTTTCCCGGCGTCTTATTCGGTTGCACGGCCTTTCACAGGTGGTTCCGATTGTATGGAAATTCGGACATTAGTCCGTTGACGGTGCATATTTTACGAGGTTCGCTGGCTAGTAAGAAAAATATTCTGCCGTAATCTGGAAATGGTTATTACGTTTGCTCGTTACTCGTGTTAAATACGCTGGAAATAACCGGGGTATTCATTAGATGAGTTTATTCGGTAGTGACCAATTACATTCGCTTGTATTATTACGTTTGTGTAATGGCTAATTTGGTCATTGAAGTAGCCTAAATATTTTATGTTACGTTTTTAGCGCATTTTGTTAACTTACTAATACAGTAAAGTGGGTAAATGAGTCTATTAAATAATAACAAAATGTGTGTAATAAGTGGAAAAAAGTCTAAATGAGGAATATATTAGTTAAATTAGTCAAAAATGATATAATTTATTATATTCAATTTAACAATGGTTATGCAATTTTACATATTTTTCCAATATTTTCCAAAATACCATTATCGTGGGTATAGGGTTAATAAATAACAGCCTACAAAAAATAGGCCAAAATTAATCAATAGTATATTTAAATAAATTCGGTTTTAGAGTACCTAACCGTTTTTGAAAAAATTATACGCCGATATTTTCTATGTTAATTACGTATTTAGTCGTACAAAATCAGACTAATTACATTGGAATAGTTAGCTGGCACGAATTTCAAACAAATTAAAGTTTGTTTACATATATCGAACGATTTTTAACGAGCTTCCGTATTCGTCGAATCGGAAAAATGTTTATTCATTTATATTTTTACTTATACAATTATTTTTTTTCTGTTGCAGATTGGAAACCGGCTGGGATGAAAATGCAATACGTCAAGGGGAATCTGAACTCGTATCATTAACAAGATAAATCACTTTGTTGTACAGAAGATTACTCACGTAAATATAGCGTTTTGAACGCTATACTCAACGAAAGTTCGCTAGAAGAGACCGGTCGTTTCTAAATAGCTCGAATAAGCTAAACAGCATTACTTGTTCCTAATCTTAACTTATTTAGAATAGTTTGTTGTATTGTTTCCTAGATTTTTACGTGCCAAGATGTTTTAGTCTAGTCGTTGTTACCAAAATAAAATGAATAACTAACTATCAGCGTATTTTTTGCACCCAAAAAAAATAATAATAGAATTATCGAGCACCCGTTCGACAGCCGAATTTCCGATTACCCTCTCCGGCTGGAAATTTTGGCGTGCATGCGGGCCGTTTGTCATTTTACCGGCCAGCACCTGCCCGAAAGAGGTGTAACATTTCACCCGGGATCTGGAACCCATTACGCGCGGCCCTTTTAAACCTACATCCTACACTCGAGCCCTTAAGAAACGCTGCCCTTTAAACGTCGGATTATTTCCCCAACTGGCCGTAAACGGAACCGCAACGAAAATAAATACGTTAACGGGCGATTATAGCGTTAAGGTAAAGCTGGGAATCGATTCAATTAGGGAATGTATTCTCCTTTATATAAGACTAAAATGAAGTCATTTAGATGCAATGCATATTTAGGGAGTTTCTGCGGAAATAGCGTTACATAAAATGCTTACTAAATTAATCATACAGCCACATTTGAAACATTCAACATTGTTGCACAATTCTGCGTTATTTTGCGTAGTTCAATCGATGTTAACGTTAGCGTTTACCTTCGAAATTCGCGGAATTAATCATCGGCTAAACGACTTTTTTAATGTCATCTGCTACACGGGATGTCCTGGCTCTTTCTCGCGTCGAAACCATATGGGCAAGTGAAGAAATTCGAGCGTAAAATGAGCCGCAAGACCACACGTAGGACGCTTCTAAAATTATAATCGATCAAATGGAGCGAATAATCGACAGTAATTTTTACGGTTTCGAAAAAGAAGGACTCGAATGTTACGTTTTAATTACGTTTCGTTTTTTCGTGCAAGAAAGCAGCTCGCGATGTTTATACCGAAGTAAAAAGGGTGTTTGTCGTATACAGTTTGCAACCCATTCATTCAATATTTATATCCATTGTGCGCTATCAAAAAAAAAAACTGTCACGCACTCGTTACCCCGAACAGGGCAGATGAATCGTAAGGGTGTAAGTTTGCATTGTCAAAGGGTGCACTCGTCCTTTTTACGAGTGCCCGCATCGAGTTGGCCCGTGCCGCAGTTGTATGCGTCGAATAAAAAATTACGATAAATTGATTTACGGTTAGATAGGGGTGAAAAAAATCCCGAAATAATGGCGCGCGAATTCCATATTGTAATTTTGTCGCGTTCGGTTTTGGATTTCCGCCCCTTCGAGAAGCGATCTACACGTCCCATATGCGTAATGGACGCGGCCTAAACAGGAAGCGCGCCCACACACTCGGTGTCGAATGACAGGACACCCGATATTACCTTTTTCCTTTCGACCGGTCTCCTAGGGTTTCCCATGATTTTGTCGTGAAAAAACCTAAAACAGGATATTGCGATATTAAAACGCTACAAAAACATGGTAATCTTAAGTAAAGGTAGGGAGTTTCGCATCGGCTGTGCGTCGCGGAATTGCATTCATTTAACAAAATTGGTTTCTCTTCCTAAACGTAAAAGACCAATTTTCTAGCTTTAACTTTAGAGAACTAACTTTTAACTAACTTTAGAGAGTAGAGAGTAGAAGAAAACTGGGCTCAAAATGTGAATAATACTGACAATTATCATATGTTTTTTTGGACTATAAATTTTATTATTTTCCTAAGCAACCTTTGCACGGTTCTTGAAAAAATTGCTCTTTCCAAGTATAATTAGATTGTTTTTTTCATTGCAACTGTTGAGCAAAATATCATCGAAAACTGGGACAAAGAACAGTAGTACTCAATACCAGCAAAGAAACTTCATATACTTTTAGAACTAATTTTATTATCTTCTTTACTTAATCAATTTTCACTGTTCATGTTTACTATCAGTTTCCTCCAATTTCTTCAAATGAATTATGGACTTAGAAGATATGGAATAGAAAGAAATAGGAAGGGAAATAAATTGCTCCACAAAAGTTAAGAAAGTTCGCAAATTTTGCGATTATTTTAAAAGTTACAGAATTTTTCATCACCAAATTTTCAAATAAGCGAAATTAAATGTTTTCTCTCATATCTGAGTGGATTTTTTGTGCCTACCTCTACAACTCATACTAAATTTGGCGATCAAAAAACCTGCAACTTTTAAATTAATCTCAATATTTGTGAACTGCCTTAACTTTTGTGGAGCAGTATAATTCCTTCAAGTAAAAATTGCTGAATCTTCCAGTCGCCTCTACGATGATACCAAACATCCAATCTTTCGAAATTCGGTGAAAAAGGCGGTGGAATCCCGCCAACGGACGTCCGCAGCTGCGAGGAAATCACGTCGAATTTCATAGATGAGGATTCATCATCTGGTTTTCGGGGCAAGTGCTCCTTTCGGCCACCTGCTATTCGCACAACTCAGCGGCGCATCCCATACTTTCGACCTCTCGATATCTTAGAGAAACGGGGGATTAGCCGGTGAAAGAAGAGCGCCCATGGTTCTCGCCTATTACCTGTTTCAACCAAAGGCAGTCATCGATGGTTCCCAATTTTGTGTGGTTTACTTTCCCGCCAATACGGAGTGCAGGTGTTATTTTTAAACAGCTGATGTTTCTCCAATGAACATTTTTTTTGTATACCTACCTCTTCTCTTTCTTCGTATATAGCAACTTCATCTTTTATACATTTATTAACGCATTATTAATTGTTAAATTACCTACATACATTCGAGTAAAAAATTAAGTATTTCTCTAAACTTTACGGTTGAAGTAATTTTCAGGTGTTTCGTAAGTCGATCGAGATTCCCACCAGTACTGCATCCTGCATTATCATTTTAGCATAATTTTATAGGTTAGCGAATGTATTTCACGGTCTGCGAACCGGCGACAACCCAAATAAAATAATCTCCTTTTCGTGGGATCGGAATTTTCCAGCGATCGTTACCGTTACGACTCGACGCTAATAAACCGAATTAATTGTATGCGTATCGTTATCGATTCGCGATACAATCGGAAAAGGTGTTTTCCAGATGGTTAGACGACAAACGCGTTAACAGAATGTCATCAGATAACGGGCGAGCGTGTGCATTGTATTTGTCCGAAGTACCCGCAGAATCGACAATGAAATTGTGAACTCATAAAAGCGATATCAATCTCGATAAGCACGTGGGGTTGCGCGCCCTTAAACCGACTCATTAAAAGTACGGTACAATTTTTTTTTCGATTCAATCCGTTAGAAACTCATTTTGGTATTCGATTTTTTATACAACTAACTCATTTCGGCGCTTCAATGGCATTCCTTCGGTATCTAAAACGCTGATAACGAGTCGTGTGTAATCGAAACAAACAGAATTTTTAACAGAGTTCCGGCCACAGCCCTTTGTTTTCCTATTTAGGTGCGTTTTCCTGCCGATATTTACACGCCCTTCGTCTCCGCATATTTGCTCGTCCAACAAACAAAAAGCGTAAAAGAATTTATTGCCTTCCTATTAACATTGTAAACGACGCGAAAATTAATTCGACAAATCGACGTTGTCGGTGGTGGAGACTTGATTGAGGTGTTGCTTGCGCCACGTCCTCGCGTTGTTCCTTCTCAGCACGTCGCTGACGAACGAATTGGCCTCTTCTCTGTCCTTGCAGTTTTTCGACCGGCGCCTGATCATCCAATGGCCGGTGATGCTCTCGGCGCCGTCGCAGATCCGGCACTCTCCCAGGAAATTCGCGATTTTCTTACCTTTGTTGGACACCGCGGTGATGGCCACCAAAGAGGAGTGCCTGAAGGGCACCATCGAGGTGGCGTTCCAAGTGCCTTCGGCCAGGAACCCGTTCGTCGGAGGGTCCTGCGGCACGATTTTTACAGTGGGATTGTTCGGGTGCAGCCTGCTATAGAACCTGATCTGCATGCCTCCGGCGAAGCTGTCGAAATCTCCTGTTATGTTGCACAAGCTGGCGTCTCCTTCGGACGTTTTGGCGGCGTTCTCGTACCTAATCAGCTCCTGGACGTCCTTCATCACTTTGCCCAGCAGCTCCTTTCTCTGCGTGGTCGTTTCCTCTTGGTCCAATTCGTAGTCGTCGGTTTCGATTTTGTCGTAATCGCCTGCGGTGCACGTGGAGGAATCATTCAGCGATTGTGTCGTCGATGCTGATGATTCGGACTGATTAACAAACTTCGTACTCGATGAAGTTGATGACGAATAAGACGAAATAGTAGTTGATGCGGTGGAGGTCGATGAGGCATCGCCTGCAGATCTGGTTTTACGAGCTTTCCGTTTGAATTTCTCGATGAATTTTCGCAGATTTTCGCTCAACGGTTGCGACTTTAGGTACTCCTTTTCCCTTTGCAGCAAATGCCGTTTGGCTCTTTCGATTATTTCTCGTTCGGGCCGTTTGGTTTCGATGGTCAATAACGAGAAGCACAGTAGAACGGAAATGTGTCGATATAAATGCATGATGTACCGTTTAAGTCAAAACTGACAACTTTTGTTATGTGCAATTCATTGCGAATCGTATTGATCTTTACATATTTTCTATTTTTTACTAATTGTTTGTTGGAGTCGCATTTTGCCGATGAGGATATATTCAAAATAGTGAAGAGGAATTTGATATGCAGAGAGAAGGAGTACTTGAAAACCAGACCGTTGAGCGAGAATTTGAAGGATTTCATCAAAAGAGCCAAAAGGCACAATAAAGGTAAACGCAACAAAGATGTTATACAAGAGAAAATGTATATTTTAAAAGGTGGCGAGGTCGTTCCCTTCAAGCAACTCAACATTAGAGATACGGGCGAATACAACACCAAAGGGGATGCTTTATTACAAGGAAGATTCACCGTAGTACCGTTGATAATACCTAGAGAGAATACCTCCAGCGAAATCGACCAAGAAACTACTTGCATCGATGACGAAGAAATGACTACAAACACTACCACTACTTCCAACACCACAGCCTTAGAAAAAGTAACAGACGAGTACGATATGGTACCCATCGAGGCAACCACCAAAGGAGAACTCATAGGTACCTAATAAACACAGAAGTATCCACTACACACTCGGTTATTAAAACCTCCACCTAACTTCCAGGTAAAGTCATCAAAGACATCAAGGAATTGGTGAATTTCGAACGAAAATCGCGACCCCAAGGGGAAGCCAGCTTGTGCAACGTCACCGGCGATTGGGACAGCTTCGCCGGGGGCATGCAGCTGCGCATCACCTTCGCCTTCGCCAATCCCACGCCGAAGGTGCCCAGAATCGCGATAGTACCGCTCGAACCTCCCGGCGAGGGGTTCCTGACCGACAACACCTGGAACGCCACGGGCATATCGCCCTTTCCCAATTCCTCGATGATCTCGCTCACCATGGTCTCGTCCACGTCGAAGAAGATCGCCACGTTTCTCGGAGAATGCAGAATATGCGACGGCTCGGAGAGCGTGACGGGTTTCTGGATGCTGAGGCGCAGATCTAAAAATTGCAAGGACAGGGAGGAGGCGAACGCCTTCTTCAGCGACGTGCTGAGGAAGAACAACGTGAGGAGGTTGCAGCACGAGCACTTGGAGGAAATCGCCTCCACCATTGCGCCCTTAGATTGAATGGAAATTGGGCCAGTAACAGTAATAATTGCTTCTGAAGTATGTATTATAAAGGGTCAACACATGGGGATTTTTAATAAACTTGTAGTACTAGCCAAAATAAAGTAATGGATATTTAATAAAATTTATAAAATCTAAAATATTTATTGATAGTATTAAGTAATAAAAATTTCTTATAATGCACATAATACGACTGGATAGTATAAATATCCATATAAAAATCACATTCTATACATGTTTGGTATATTAGCTGTATCATCAGAATTGATATATATTCTGAAATAACAGAAAACAATAAATTTTCTGGGTAAATATAATGTAAAATAAATAAATATAACAAAATTAAATATTTGCTAAACAAGATACAAGGTTTATTATAATTAAGTCGATTTAAATTGAGTAAATATAGGAAAATTAAGAATTTTTCTCAACTAACAAACTACTCGAACATAACATGTTATTATTAAATTTTTACACTGTGCAAAATTGTTTAATATGCGATAATTAACATCATTTTGTATTGCATTTAATTGCCCTACTTATGTGCTATAACATCCAACGTAATCTTGACTGGGTAATTAGTATTCTCGTTTCTTCATAAATCTTATTAAATGGGTAGAATCTTTTTTACCTACTCTAAATTAAAAGTTGGACACGTTAACAATAGATTTGCTAGTTGAGAATCATTTTAATTATCTTGCACACGCCGGTAAATAAATAAAAATAAATTATTACACTTTTTCCCACTTCCAATCGCCCTCCAAAGGAGTTTCGGTTTCGAAATCGAAATTCCACTTTGTCTTGCATTCCTCGCGCAAACTGTTCACAATTCGCTGCACAGCGATTTCATCTTCAACTTCATCACTCTGCCCGGAAAACAACCTTCTTCTGCATTTTCTTCCGCGGAAAATTCGATTTTCTGCAGCGGGATTTTCCGAAAACGAATCGTTTTCTGGACATTGCACTGGCGGCGCTGGTGGTAACGTCTTTTCGGAATTATTGTGATTGTTAGTCATGGTTAACTGAAATAAAAGTTTTCTATAAAATATATAAAATAGAAATGTATACATGCAGTAGTAAAGTTTCAATAGTTTAACAAAGCTGAGCTTTTAACCAGACACTTTATTATGTGAAATTTTATAGTAGTAGGTAAACATTATCTAAATAATAGGCTACAAAACCCGAAATTATACACACAAAACTGACCTACCTTTCGTTAAAACCGCACTCGAAAACACACTGTATTAAAATCTAATCGCCGAATTCGCTTTTGATCCGGCCATAAAAATCTCGAAATTTCCGACTGCACGCCAGCCGAGTGTTTCCAGTTGTTTCCACACTTAAAAATACGACCGACAAAGAAAGGGAAATCTATTTTCGTCCTAGCCAAGTGAAAATCCGACGCGACGGACAAACTCGAACGAAAATCGATACCCCCGGGGTTGCCTCGCGCTCCGGCGGGGCGCCGAATACTCAAACTCAATACTCAAATCCGGTAAATTCGCGTCATCGCGAGCGATACCCGCTCTAAAATCTAACGCGACATTTTGTGCGCTCCATTTTGCAGTCGGAAAAAATTCGAGAACAATTGCACATCCAGTGCCCCCCCACTCGCGGCGTCCCCCCCTCGGGTCCCCCCATTGTTCCTTCTATTATTTGGATTAATTGCACGCCGCTTCCGGTTTTTACGCTCAGCTAACTCGAAACTTGGTGAATCTCCGCTTTGCGACGGTGGCTAGCCGGCCGACGCCCGGGCGTTTAGAATCCGGTTCGAAACGCTGCGTATTGAAATGCAGTTTGTGGCGGTTGAGTAGCCACGGCTTTTTTTAAATCGTTTGTTGGGCAACGTTTCAATTGTGTCGGAGTAAATAGGATATTTACTCGGGACTGAAAAGCACTTAACGAGCTTATTTCGGTTTATTGTTAATATTTAAATAGGAATATTAACTACTATAATCGCTTTAAACTGTGCATACCTAAACAGTTTAGTTTATTTGAATATGTACTTCAATACCCACTATATTCTATCCACTATTGTACTATTGTAATTGTATATTTTTTATCTGTATTTAGTTTGCGTAAGTAATTAAAAAATAATACATTCTTGGCATCTAAAAAACAATTCACTTTTTTTTTCGTTCGATCGAATTTTTGCGACCCATATACATATAAAAACAATGCGCAAGTTACCGTTTCCTGTCTAGCTATTGTTAGGTGTATTTTTTTGCATTTATTCGCCCGTTTTTTCGGATTTTAATTAACAAGGTTAATTGACACTCCGATGAATTCACAGGATCTACACGATAATATAATGCGCTTCCTTTCGCACAAACAAACCGCTAGATTAATTTGCATATTTTGATGTTAATAACGAAAAATTAACAGAATTTGTAAGAAGGAGCATTAGATATAGTCTATGGACTAATGAGTTTGGTATATCCTCTTTAAAGAATCATTAAATTTGTAAAGATATATCATATTTTCAGCTCGAAGAACCATAATATAATAAATAAATTAAATGAATATTTTAGTTTATCTAAAATACCTAGTTTATTATATTTGGAAGGATATATCATATTTTCAGCTCGAAGGACCATAATCTAAATAAATTTAATGAATATTATAGTGCATCATTTGGGTTTATTGGGTTGGTATATCTTTATTTGACTACCTTAAAAGGTAATAAGAGTGAAGTTTCTTGATGTATTCAAGGAAGTTACTGAAATAATAGGGAAAAATTCATGGCCACCTGGTGAATCCTTCAAAAGAGAGCAGAGGATGCTGCTTGATGTAGTAAATGTATTTCATAGTACAACCGAGAGATGTCGCAGATTTCGTAAGATTGAATGGGTCAAGTAATTTATCAAGGTGGACTTTATTTGTAAATTTTAAAAGTCTTTTTTATACACTTTATTTGTTATTTTTCTGATTATTTACCTATTTCGTTGATCTGTTAGTACTTTATTAAGAATTTTTTGTGAGTTTATTAGTTCTATTTGGGTGGTTCGATTTTCTTAATATTTCTCTGTATCATTTTAATGTTCATTATCTTGTTTAATAGATTCTAACGCAACGATTCGTACGCAACTATAATCCTAATTACACGCAATATCAATTAAAAAAACAGCAATTTCCGTAATTACTTAGCGCGTGAACTTTACGATTTCTTTAATCGCAACATTTCCATCTACTTCGCAGGCGGCGAAGCGCAGAAGAACTTCCCAAACTCGAGTGGTTCCCAGTTCGAGTGGCCCGAGATATTTTCGATGTACATACGTGGTTTTGTTTTTAATCGCTCTACCCTCTTGAAACCGACGGGACGGGTGTCACTTCGATCTCTTTCAAGTCGTGAAGTGCTTTCGAAAATGAGAAAGTTCAGATTCGGTTATTGCGTAGAAATGTATTCGTCGGTAGACTGTGTGAATGTACGAAGATGAGCGGGATATTTAGAAAGAAGCCACCCCTAAATAGAGGTGGTTTCGAATTTAACGATTGCGTTTCCTCAGAAAGGCCTTAATCTACTTGTGGTTTTTGTGTTTATGCACCGTCCTGATTTAACAGCTCGATTTTTATTGGCGATCCGGTCGTAAAGCCGAATATATTTTACGGGTCTACTAAATCGTAAATGCGCGTAGAATGCGGGTGCACGCCAGATGATTCCTCCACGAACTCGTTATTACAATACGAAAATAAACCGCCCCGTTCCCTTTTCTACATCAAATTCAAATCGCAGCTTCACGGTGCTCCTCGAACGCGCGATAAAAACCTAAATTAATCCGTCCAAAGAAAGGGCATATTAAAATCGTTAGCGCTTTCGAATAAACAATGGGAGCTTTGTGGAAAGTCGCAGCGGTGGAAGAAACGGCGCTGGCAAGACAAGGTAATTCAACTTCGGCGAGAGATCTCGCTTTTGTCCATTGTTCGGCTAGCATCCGTTTGCCCGTAATGTTAGAAGTACCGCAAGTGTAATATCACTCCTCAATGTCGCTAGGAATAATGATGGACTTAACGCCAGGGCCGCACTCTGGCAAATTTTTCACTCGTACCGAAGCGAATAGTACGGATTTTATGAGAATATTTCGCTAGGTTTAATGATTTTTTAAATGGATTTTTCAAATGGTTCTAAATGACCCTCGGAAGTAACTAAATTGGATGATTTTTCAGGTGATTTCACAAGTTAATTTATTAAAATCAACAGCTTCACAAAAGTTAAGGAAGTTTTTGCGATTATTTTCAAAGTTACACACACTTTTGATCACCAAATTTTCAAATATACGAAATTAAATGTTTCCTCTCATATCTGCGTGGATTTTTTGCTCTTTCCTCGGCAACTCATACTAAATTTGGCGATTAATTTTTAAATTAATCTCGATATTTGTGAACTTCCTTAACTTTTGTGGAGCAGTATATTTCACTGAATTCTTCCCTCTATTTACAACGGTCAGATGCACTCTCTTTCTCGCACTGATCTCGCATATAATCTCGACTTTATTCCAGATGCATGAGATATTCCTCGAGTCCGGTCCTGTTGTTGCACTTCCCATCATTCACTTTACTCGCCAAACGCTAGATAGGGCAATTTAGCATACTCGTTTTAACGCCAACGGTTGAAAATTCGACTCCTCGCCGATCCTGCTCTATTTTTCTCATGGAAAATCGCTTCGATTACTTTCGAAACGATTTCAGAATTAATTAATTTGTTCGTTTGTTTGCCCAGAACTAAAGAGCAGATAATATATTTGTTCTCCACGGCTCTAAATTAGGGTGAATAATGGTGCTAGTCATGACTTGCAAAAAAAGAATTTATAACCAGAGGGTGGAAATTATATGATCAATTATGTCACCTTGTTTATATATTCTCTTGATGAATTGTTGTTAATTAACTTTTTAGGAGTGCAAAGAGAAGAATCTACTGAAGAAAAAATTAAATTAGAACGATCCCAGAACCACATAGATGAGTTCAAAATCATTTAGAACAGATTCGGGACTTCCGATTGCAAAACGAGAAGAAAACGTTTTCGAATCGTGAAGCGTATCAAAAGCCCTTATCGAAAATCGAAGAGCTTCACTGACGTTTCTTATACGGCTTGTAAATAACCAACCCGTGTTACCCGTTTCGAAAAAGCGAACGACGCAACAAAAGATAAATAAATATTTTAATGGTTTGCACTTAACCAAAACGAGTCGGGTCGGTGGATATTTACCTTCCACTCTTCCACTACAGGGCGATGCGCGAGTTTCATTATGATTCCCCACAACAGGTCGGACTGATTAGAATTGTTAATTAATCAGGCACTAATACAGTATGTACGAACTGATCCGCTGCAAGCATATAATGAGAATAATGAGATAGCTAATTTAACTTTTGCTATGTAAGGAATAAAGAGAACATACGAAATAGTCACGCCCGCTATCCCCGCTATTCGCTAGTGGACGAAGCGAAGCGAATTGACGAATTCTAATATCGGCCGGCAACCGATAAACAAGTTTCTGTTCTTTACTATCTTATAGTATTGATTGAGATTCTAATTCTAATGCTTGCAGCGGAAGAATTCGTACACTCTGTATGTATTTATATTTATCGGTTAGTATTTGATGATCGTAATCTTCTAGTAGTGGCTTTTTATAGAAGTGGGTCAATAAGAAATTCCGTTTGACTCGTTGTTTAGATGGTTATTAAAAAAGCCGATTCACCGCTGGTTTTCATCTGCATAATACGTATATTTTGCGCGTATACGATACACTTGACCTCGTTGATTTTGGCGCCAACACTAACCATTGGCCAGTTTTTTAATTGCCATCACCATCAGACACGACGTGTATCGTATTCTTAAAATATTACACCTGGTGCAGGATTCTTTTTGTATCCGTTTTCGCTTTAAACTGTATAAGTACCTATTATTGTAGAGGAGGAGGAGGAGGACGATGCGATTAATCTCGATACTGTTATACATACTAAAAATGTAGGTAGAATCTCCTCCAACGGATATAAATAACATGTAATAACAGTTTTTGTCGAGCGGCGACAAGACGTATAATAAACGTTTTAGTGAGAGTAGTACCGGTAGCGTACGACACGGTGGCACAGGCCGTAAAGGCATCGAGCATCGCGATAACGTCGGGCGGTGTCTTTAACATCGCATCGGTACAACTTTTTTTACGGCTTCTAGGATGGGAAAAAAACGTCCCCAAGGCGTCGTGTACGCGCACACATGGATGGGACGCCTCGAAATAAATCGGGTCCCCGGAGAGATGGGGGACTCGAGAGCGTTTACTTAGCTGATGAGTCTTCGACCTGAACCATTTCGGATGGATAAAAAAAAATTCGAGTGCAGTTTCGAGTGGACTGGCTAATTAATTCTCTCAAAAAAGAAACCGTTTTTCACTCCACCTCTTGCGACTGCCACAAATAGTAATAGTAACGAATTTTTTAAACTAGTTACAGCGGAAGTATCTAACGAAACGTTTCATTGTATCGAGATATTTCTATGAGCGGTGCGGATGCTGGAGATTCTTTCTCATCGATGACCTTTCGCCCTTGCTTTGACCGGCGGTCAATACGCGAGAAGAATGACTGTTTTGCTATTCCCAACAGTTCCTGCAACTGGTCATTATGCGTTGTTTCCATACTTTTGAACCCCGTTGAAGGAGGTGCGATGGAGCCGACTCTAGATTTTCGGTGGGCGGTCACCTTCCCATGGAGTTATACAGTTACTTGTCGGAAAACGAATTTTAATCTCAAATTACAGGGTTGCGTGTGATTCTGTTGCGTTACGAAACGGTTTTAATACATAAATAATTGGTTTGAATTTACTGTGAACTTCCTAAGCGGTTTTAATCGTATCCTAATTAGATAAAAATTAGCTTACAAGTATAAACATGTCTCTTGACCTAGTACTACATTCGCTAATCGCTCGCAACAAAACCATTATCAGGTAGGTATTTTACGAATTTTTTTGTAACACACACAAATCTGCTTTATGTGTTTACCGCATAAGATCTCGGAAACAATTTCCTCACATCCTTTTGCTATAAAAAAATTTCCACAAATATGTACACACGTGTACCGGAGCAAACAACTCATCATCGCTCCCTCGATTGCTAAAAGCGTAAACAAGGCGAAACTTTTGAGATCGCCGACCGAGAGAATAGATTTAAATTTCTCCGGGCTACCGGAATTCCAAAATACACAAGCCATCGTAAATAAGAAAGCGGGTTTAAAACGATAAGGAGCGATAACGGAGCTTTATACGCAAGACTTCCGTGTTGCGTCGATTCGAACAGATACCGCATAGTATTCTACAGGGTGGTAACAACCCTGCGTGCAAACGAACGCCCAACGGACTCAATCAAATTCGAATTAAAAACGGACTTCTCGTTTTCTCATACCCACCTGGACCGGTCGCTGCGGAGAATGCCCGAAAACTAGTACTATTAACTCGACCACAAAGCCAATTTCACACGTATCTATTGTGCACGTACCTGTAAATGTATGTGCGAAAAACGGGGTGCATAGAAATACTCGTTGGTCGAGAAATGCGATATCTAAACAACAGTTTATCCGGCGATTTGGCGACAAACTAGGGGTGGAAAATGATCCTACTACACTCGATTACGATTTTAATCCCAATATTTGATTAGCATAGATAAATAGTAACCGTATTTGATCGAGAGTAGAACAGCAAAAATTGGAATAAAGTGAGTCTTGTACCAAATCTAGTATCAATAAATTCCAACTCCATACACTTCACAAATAATCAAGCTCCATGTAAAAAATTTGTAATACTATTATATAAAATGCATCTGGATTGAATATAATTCTGTTACCTATTTCATTTATGTTTACGAAATCAGTTAGGGATTAAAATAGTGGTAATCTAGTGCAATATCCACCCGAAGCGAGATTAGTGTAAAATTTTAGCGACGAAAACTAGGGTGACAATCCCTTCTTCGGAGTTTCTCGCATTCTCTTTGTGCTGATAGGTGTTAAAATTGCACCTGAGTCCACTCCAAACAGATTAAGGTGTATACTAGACGAGCTTGTTATTGTTATTGTGCAAGTACAACAACGTTTCTAACATTCGTTTACGTATTATTTAGAAAGGACCTTTCGAATGGGGTTCATCTAGGATTGTCTAATGAATCAGTGGCGTACTTTTTTGTCAATAATTGAAGGTAATCGTACGTTATACGTTACGTAAAAATCAACCTATTAGCTCTCATTATAAACTACAAACTGTGCAGATTTTAATCTTGTATAATGAATCAAACTACAATCAAAGCGTAAAAACAACAAAGTTACTAATCTTTTAAACGAATCAAAACTGTAATTTATTCACGTTATTTTAATAATAAAAAAATAGACTTGCATAATTATACAATTACGTATAACGTTTAATTATAAATGAAATTGTATTGATAACCGGCGGATCGTGAAAATTCGCAAAAAACTCGCCCAGAGGTTCTCGAGAAACGCCGCGAAAAAAACGGAGCAGCAGAAAAAACAAATAAAACTTAATTTCTAGTTGAATCAACGTCAAATAGGACAACAATGAGGCGCCCCGAGGTCCTTGCGATTCAAACATCAAAAACTAGTTGACAATAGACCTGAGGTGCACGATTCACACAATAAGTAATAATGGAACGTCAAATAGAGCGTACGACTATTTTCTTCCCCGCGTACATCTCGGCCTAACCCTACGGCTATTAAGGGTAATAATTTTCTTTTCTAGTCGCTCCTAGTTCAAGGGGAGAATATTTTGAGTTCGTCTTAAACGGTGGACTGCAAACAAAACAGTGGTGGGTCGCCGGTTCTCCCATTGTCTCTCCGAAGACTTTTTTGTCTTTGCTTATTCCGATTCGGGCCTATGTGTTTAATTCGTATCGGCGTTTTTTACAGTTCGATGATTCCGTTATACGTATTAATATATTCCTTTATACCACGCTTTTTATTTATTTCGAACGGTTACATCTGAAGAAACGACCATTTCAATTCTAAAGCTTCTTATACTAGAGTAGCTTTTGTACCATTTTCTTTTTTACCATTTTTTTGGGGGGTAATTAGAGTAATTTTGAGTCCAAAAGTTCATATAAAGGTGTATTATTATATCCTCAGGATTATTTATGGACTTGGCAAAAATTTGGCGGGATTAATTGTATCTCTCAAGGTTCTGCAAACAAAATTTCGGAACCAGTTGACCTTAAATCCGAACACCATCGCTTTTTTGGCGCCGATTCGATTAGAAAACGACGCCGTTATCTAACAAAAATTTCTACAGGGCGATCGGGAACCGTTCGCACAATGGCCGATGCAAATTTAAATCGGTCAGTGAACCCTTTGGTTGCGAATGAGAACGATTTTTTTTTTGTCCGAAATTCGCGTTCACGGTCGAGTGCGAATCCGGGCTGCAAGAGGGTGAGTCCGAAACCAGTTCTGCCGGCGATATCGGATTTCTCCGTTCGCAAGGGATAAATCATTCGGAGCGTTCGCAAAATAATCTCCGGGAACCCCGAGGATTTCGCGCCCGGAATGACCTATAGAAACGCGCGATCGTTAAATGGTTTTTTTACAGCGCCGTTCGCCGTAAAGTTTACGAGTCGAGAACTATAACTGTTTTGTGGTCGACGACGACGACATTTCCAAAGGCCTTTCGAGCAGTTCGTTTTTTTCGAAACTGTTAATAGACGAAACCTTACACCGCACAAGTACGTTCGAGTCACCTTCACCAGCCATTGTTCGCTTTCGATAACCAATAGTGCAATTCTACACGTTCCTTCCCCGACATTGGCGTAGCCCGGAGATTTTTACAGCCTCCAGCAGGTTATACCATAGACCAATGTACACCTAAATTCCACACTAAAATAATCCCTACTTTACCCCTAATCCATTAACGGAACCACGAAACTTGTAAACTGGATATTACAGCAGAGCAGATTGGAGCAAAGCAGAAAAAAATAGAGCAGAGAAGAGTAGAATAGGGAAGAATAGAGAAGAGTTGGTAAGAGTATGGAAGAGTATTTCCTTTGTATACACTTTGTATAGCCTAAAAAAACTGATCATTGAGCTGTGATAACGGCGTCTGATCGAAGAAATAAATCTGTAACAGTAGCGAAAAAATCTGTTACACGGTTTTTTTTATTATTATTCGAGCCGGCGATTTCCTGAAGTACAAATGGGTGTTCGACGTGCAGGTTTTTTATGGCCCATTGTTCTTGTGCGATGGTTGCAATGCGACACCGTGTC